CTGTATGACCAACTCCCTAGGCCTTGTGTTATCATGGGAGATTTGAATGGCCATAACCCTCTTTGGGGTAGTAATGACACAAATAATAAAGGAAAGATACTTGAGGATTTTCTCTTGAATAATGATTTGTGTATTTTCAATGATGGTACTCACACGTATCTACATCCTGCAACTGGCACTTACTCTTGTTTAGACCTGTCCGTTGTAGACTCTAATTTACTTGATGAATTTGAATGGTCAGTCCACAATGACCTCTGTGGAAGCGACCATTTTCCTACCATTTTACAATCTGTGACACCATCTGATGTTTCTCCGTCATCACGATGGAATTTTACTAAGGCGAACTGGGCTTTATATGCAACCCTTTGCTCTAATCATCTAAAACCTGATGGTTTTATTGATGTTTCTGATCCCATAAAACTTTTTTCCGATTCACTAAATCAAATAGCTGATGAATGTATTCCGAAGTCCTCTTCAAATCCTCACATACGTAAGCCATGGTTCAGCAATGATTGCAAACTAGCTAGGAAGGCAAGGAAAAAAGCTGAACAATATTTCCGTCGCCATCCTATGGTCCACAATTTAAATAAATTTAAAATATTAAACGCTAAGGCACGGCGTACCTTTTAACAAAACAAGCGTCAGTCTTGGCAAACTTATGTCTCCAAGATAAATTCACGTACGCCGATATCGAAGGTATGGAACATGATTAAGAAAATTAAAGGTAAGGGTTCTAAATCTAGTGTTCACCACCTTAAAAGTAGGAATGACTTATTAACAAATACTTCTGATATTGCTAATAAACTTGGTGAAACTCTGGCTCAACATTCTTCCTCCTCGAACTATGCCCCTAAATTCCAAAAATATCAAAAGCAGCAAGAAAAGAAACCAATAAATTTTAATTCAGACAATGGGGAGGATTACAATGAAATATTTTCCATTCATGAGCTCAATACTGCCCTCGGGCAAGCTCATGACACTGCTGCGGGGTCTGATAATATACATTATCAACTCTTAAAACATTTACCGCAACCCTGTTTAGAAACCCTTTTGATGATTTTTGATAAAATCTGGACATCAGGAGAATTTCCTTCTTCATGGCGTGATGCTATAATTGTTCCCATACCCAAACCTGGACGTGATCATACTGATCCTTCAAATTATAGACCCATTTCATTAACAAGCTGCGTTTGCAAAACCATGGAACGCATGGTCAATAATAGATTAACATGGTACTTAGAATCAAATGACTTAATTACCAACATTCAATGTGGTTTCCGTAAAAATCGCAGTACCATTGACCATTTAGTTCGACTGGAGTCATTCGTTAAGAATGCCATTGTAAATAAGCAACATGCAGTGTCTATCTTTTTCGATCTAGAAAATGCATATGACACTACATGGAAGCACGGTATTTTAAAAGACTTACATGACTTTGGATTGCGAGGCCGTTTGCCTCAATTTATATCCAAGTTTTTATCTGACAGACAATTTCAAGTCCGCGTGGGTTCTACCCTGTCTGATCATTATAATCAGGATCAGGGTGTCCCACAAGGCAGTATTTTGTCTGTCACTTTGTTTAGTATTAAAATCAACAGTTTAGCAAAGGTTTTAAACGATTCAATTGATGGATCGTTGTTTGTGGATGATTTTAATGTTTCTTGCCGTGGTAAGAACATGCATACGATTGAGAGGCAAATGCAACTGTGTTTAAATAAAATTCAAAAATGGTGTCTAGAAAATGGCTTTTAATTTTCCAAATCTAAAACTAACTGTATTCATTTTTGCAGAAAATATAAACCTCACAAAGACCCGGAACTAATATTAGATAACAACCCCATTAAAGTTTTAAAGAAGCGAAATTTTTGGGTATAATTTTCGATCATCATTTAACCTTTTTACCACATATCAAATACTTAAAGAATAAATGTCTGAAAGCCCTAGATTTGTTAAAAGTTGTCTCTAATTCCAAGTGGGGAGGGGATCAGAAAACCCTCCTCCAACTATACAGAGCTCTTGTACGCTCAAAACTTGATTACGGCTCCCTCATCTATGGTGGGGCTTGTAAGAGCAATTTAAAAGTATTAGACACCATTCATCACCAAGGCCTGAGACTTTGTCTTGGAGCTTTCCGTACTTCACCTCTTCACAGTTTGTATGTGGAGGCTGATGAGCCATCCCTTCAACACCGACGCATTAAATTATCTTTACAGTATATATCTAAATTACGTTCTACTGAATACAATCCAGCATATGACTGTGTTTTTAATCCTCTGTACATAAATCTATACAATAAAAAGCCATCTCTTATTCCACCCCTTGGAATAAGGATACAATCTGTTGTTTCTGCTGCCCAAATCAATCTTGAAACCATAGCCCCCACTCGGCTGTTCACTTCTCCACCATGGCAGTTAGTGAAGCCCGAGGTAGACCTAACATTAAGTAAACTAAAGAAATCCAACACAAATCAATTAATTTATCAACAGCAATATAATGAATTACGAAGCACGTATGATACTCATAAATCTATATTTACAGATGGATCCAAGGATGGTGATGCTGTTGCCAGCGCCACCGTCATTGGATCCAGAACTATCTCAACCAGATTACCAGATAACTGTTCTATCTTCACAGCAGAAGCACATGCTATTTTAACGGCTCTAAAATACATCAACAGCCAAACTAAACATCAACAGTTCATTATTTTTTCAGACTCTCTTTCTTGCATTCAAGCTATTAAAAACATGTCTTCCACGCATCCACTTTTAATGGAAATTGTTGAATTGTTTAATGAGCTTGCTACTGGCCAATGCGACATCATTTTCTGTTGGTTACCAAGCCATGTTGGAATCACTGGTAATACAATGGCCGATGCTGCAGCTAAAGCAGCACTCAACAAATCTGTGACACCACTTCTGCTTCCATACAGCGATTATAAACCTGTAATAAGAAACTACATCAGAGATATAATGCAGCAGAAGTGGGACACCCAAGTAGGTATTAATAAATTACATGCTATAAAACCAACCATCGGTTACACCTACTTGGGTTGTCAGTCCAGATTTGAAGAGGTCATTGTACGACGATGTCGTATTGGCCACTCGCGATACACACATGAATATTTGTTAAAAGGTGAAGATCCTCCGTTTTGTATCCCTTGTGATGAGAGAATCACGGTCAAGCATGTCCTGCTTGACTGTATTGATTTTTCCATCACAAGGGATAAGTATTTCAAAGTTTCATCGTTAAAGGATCTTTTTAATCAGATTAATTCTCATTTAATTCTTGGTTTTTTAAAAGAAATAGAATTGCTTGATAAATTTTGATATGTATATGTACTGTAAAAAGTATGTGATTTTAATTTGGTAGAATGACGTAATAACTGAGATTGTTAGTGGCTGTACCTTCAAAGGGGGTTGAAGTAACGTAAAATAATTGTCCCCCTGAGAAGGTATGTAAGTCCCATTTCATTCAAAGTATTTTTCATTTTCCATGTTTTTAATCGTAGAATTCTTGTTGTTTTTAAATGTTTTGGCTTAAACTTGCCGACAATCACCAGTAGCCAGAGGGATGGTGTAAATCCTGCTGGGTTACCATGTAGGTAGCAGAAGTATCGTAAGTCCCCATGGTACCTAGTATGGTGACCTACCTTTGGTTATTGGTGATCTATAGCCCATTTTTATTGTGTACTGTTCTGAATTTTATCATGATATGCTAGTTTTAAATCTACATCTGTGATAGTCTAGTGTTTTTACTGTCCTTTGTCGACAGATTTTAATGTCTCTATGTATTAATATATAACTTGATTTAGTCACCATATGGCTGAAATATTGCCGCTGTGACTTAAAATATTAACTAACTAACTAATTGTTATCATTGTAAGTTACATGGTCCATTGAGTTGTGGTAATACCTGTGTTCAAGTTTCAAGTACAGGTTTAGTTCTCAAAAGGCCTGGCTTGTAAAATCCAGATGTTATCAAAGAACTCGATCATATGAATAATGCACAATAGGCAGAATAAGTAACACGAGAGACCTTTTCCTTGATTGAAAGAGGAAGGGAGGCCACTCCAAAAGTTGACATTCTGAACACTCGAGCTCGCTTGAAATGAATTCACATTTCCAGTTCGATCCCCAGATCTTTCATTAAGGTAAATAAACGTGACTTCGATCATTTTTTGTTCTTTTAGTAATTATTTATCTAAATTGTGTCGTTACATAAATGGCACAATAGGGGAATAGTATTATATAGATGTACGTGAATTACTTAAATTACAAAGTTACACATAGCAAACTACTCAACTTTGGATAGAATTATCTGAGTGTGCAGGCGGTGGCTTTTTTTATCTTGATTATCAAGTTATGAGTAATTTGTGATTCGTAACAAAGATTAAAGGTTGAGTAAAGTATCACCATATGATTTACCTTGTCAACACAAACATTACCTTGTGATTTAGCTTAATTTTAACAATTGTGCCATATCTATTCAACGAGTAGTCTACGTAATTAACCCTTTTCTATTTGTTTTTGTTGTGATTTTTTAATATGGATAATTCGTCCAACCTTGAAACAGGCATTCAGAGACCATATAAAACCTGTACTAATTTTGAGCTAATTTCTTTTTTAAAATGATTATATGTCATCTTAGTAAAAATGTGAGAAGTTAATAATACACTAAAGCCTATCGTTTAATCTTCGAAACAATTACGTTGTCATTTCCATAACGTGTCCTGGGCAACGGGCTGTTGGTGGTTCGATACCCGGCCGCTTCATATAAAAAATGTTAAAAGATGGTACTTGTTGTTGCCCTGCCTGGCACTCGGCAGACGATAAAATAAGGACAGCTCAGCTCGGAGTCTTTTTGTTCAATTATCTTGAACGCGACGTTAATCTCATCTCGCCCCTCTTCACCATTAGTATATTATTGTAAATGTATGATATTGTGTCCTAACGTTGCCGAAAACAACCGCTGTACAGACATCTCTTTTTCAAGGTAAAATAACACTGCAACTTCAAAAGGAGAAATATGAAGGTGATTGTTGACGTAGACACCGGGATTGACGACGCCACGGCATTGATGCTACTGCTGTCGCGAGCTGATGTGGAGGTGTTGGCGATCACGTGTGTACGGGGAAATATAGACCTAGACAAAGTGTGCGTCAACACGCTCCGAGTCCTCAAGGAATGTGGCAAGCAGGATGTGAGTATGTGACAGACATATACATCACAACTTACGGAGCACAAGCGAGGCTCCTTCCTTTACGATCCGGTGCATAATATCGACATTTTAATGTAAAAACTACCTTGGACCAATCCACCACCATGGCTTCGTTGTGAACACGGCGCTATAAATAGCCGGCCAATCAAATTACACTTCAGCACCCTTGAACATCCGGATTAGAATAGGCCTCAAGCAACTCATGCTTATCGTCAGAGGCAACTAACAGGATCGGGTAGTCAGGCTCGGTGACTTGGTTGATGCATGTAATCGTATCTCAATTGCGTGGATCGATGTTCATGATGTCAATCCCTGGGTTGTCTGGTCCTTACGCGGATATTTACAGACCGCCGTCATATAGCGGGCATATTGCTGAGTGCAGAGTTAAACAACAAACAAACAGAAGCACTCACAGAATTTATTTTTTAATCTATGTAATTTTGCTACTGTCATTAAATGTACACGACCCTCCTCACTAAGTGCCCGCCCCCTGTGTCTCAGATTCCTGTATACAGAGGTGCAGATCGCCCCATCCTTGACAACGAAACGGATGCGTCTCACTTTCACGGGGTTGACGGAATGGGTGACGTCACGTGGTCCGAGGAGGTGGATATCGCAGACCTACAGTCTGAACATGCTGTAATGGCTATACTAAGACTTATCAACAAGTATCGAGGTATGACGTTATATTTCTTATTTACTTGGTTTACAGTCAAACAACCAGGAATGCAGGAAAAAAATCTAGTGGTGAATGAATTAATTAAAGCCCAGTCTGATAATCAAGCTAATAAATAGGGAATATCGCAAGTTGTTTACCTGACTGACTGCGACAAGTTCAATGACCCGTTATTGTTTGCTCAAATATTCACAGATTCACGGTTACTTCAATTTGTAAAAATATTAACAATTCTGTAACATTTCACCACAGTGCCATGCGAAAAATAGTGACTTTGAAATTTGTTTTTATTTCGCATCCTAGTGACCTTATACTTGCTTACAAATCCGAAATATATTAGCTAGTTTTATTTTGAATTTATTTTTATCCCTATTTCGACCACCGGCCAATGGTTTTAAGAAACAGAAATCCGTAAACCATCTTATAAATAGATAAGTGTTATGGTTTGTTTTTGATTTTGAAGACAAAAATCATTATACTTTGATTCCCAAATAATTAATTTGGTTCTCGAAAATTGAATAATGCAACTTCTGTGATCGTTACGGCATAGGGGAGATAACTCTAATTCCCCTGGGGCCTCTGACCAACATCGCCCTTGCGTTGCGCCTGGATCCAGACCTTGGACAGAAACTAAAGGAGGTGTTTATCATGGGAGGTAATATTGAAGGTAAGGGACCCAGCATTGGATTTTCGGTATATATTTTTTTGCATTTTGTTGTATTTAAATTTATCTATTAATTGATTTTTTTATTTTATTTGAGTTTTTTTAAAGGGGGGGGGGGGGGGGGGTGTTTACCATCACACACACGCACACACACAATCTTTCACACACATATTACACACACACACACTCTCACACACATATCACACACACACATATCACTCACACACACACTCTCACACACATATCACACACACACTCTCTGACACACATTTCACACACATACACACACTCTCTCTCAAACACTCACTCACATATCACTTACACACTCTCTCACAATCATATGTCACACACACTCTCTCACAAACACATCACACACACACATATCACACACACACTCTCTCTCTCACACACACATACACCCACTCTCTCTCACACACATATCACACACACACTCTCACACACATATCACAAACACACACTCTCTCTCAAACACATATCACACACACTCTCTCACACACATATCACGCACACTCTCTCTCTCTCTCACAAACACACCACACACACAAACACACACATATCACACACACATATCACACACATATCACACACACACACTCTCACACACATATCACAAACACACACACTCTCTCTCACACACACATATCACACACACTCTCTCTCACACATATCACACACACTCTCTCTCTCTCACACCACACACACAAACACACACATATCATAAACACTCTCTCACACATATCACAAACACACTCTCTTTCTCTCACACATATCACACACACACTCTCTCACACACATATCACACACACTCTCTCTCTCACACACATATCACACACAAACACACACACACATATCACACACATATCACACACACACACATATCACACATTGTAACAGGCTCATTGTAAGTTAAACGTGTGTGTATCGAAGGATTTAGAGAAAAAGGTAACTTCTCTGACAAAGACTCTATTATTTTACCAGTATTGATATACATGTATGTACCTGCAATTTCTGACTATATGGTGCGAAACCCAAGTAACTGGCCACAATTTAATTATAAGAATATAATCACACTATTTATACGAACTGCTTTGTGTGATTTGTTTCCAGGTAAGGGAAGGCTGAGCACCTCAGCTGAGCACAACTTCTACTGTGACTGTGAGGCAGCCTTTATTTCACTGAGAGAGCTGAAGAATATAGCTATCCTCCCGTATGAGGTTTGCCTCGATACAAACATCCCCTGGGTAGGTCCTAGGTGTGTAGGATTAAAGTCCGATAGGTAACCAGGTCAACATGCCCATCGCCCAACGCCCAAAGCCCAACTCATTGGCTCTGGAATTACCACAGCCGTCTGTGTCTGTGTGTGTGTGTTTGTTTACTGCCGGTGTTATAGTGCTAACTAACTTGGATACCATGCCCTATACTTAATTCTGACACAATACACTGACTCCGAGCTGACCAGTCCTGTGTCCCCTTAATGCTGAGCGCCAGGCAGGGTAACAACCAGTACCATCTTGCTGGCAGACTAAGGATCACGATCTTCACGTTTCTGGGGTCTAACCTATGACCAGCGGGTCCTGTAGGGCTATTGAACGCAACTCGGTTCAGCTAGATGATATTTACCTTTACTATGCCTCAGTGTCTTCATCCATACAGAGATCCAGGAAGACTGCCAAGTCCCACAATACCATTGTTGTAGATCTCACAGAGACAGATAGGTGAACAATTAGGTACTTCCGAACTGCTTTGTTTTCTTTCAGCTCGTGGAAACGTCACGGTTTCGTCGGAGTTCAACTTTTATATCGACCCTGAAGCCGCATACATCTGCCTGAGTTCGCTTAAGGCCCCACTGTCTATTATTCCGTGGGAGGTTTGTCTGGATACACAGAGACAGATACCATGGGTATGGATATGAACTACCTTAATGAATGCTGACGGAGGTTTGCATGCTACTGAGGCGTTGCGTCGTAAAGCTGACTCAGCACTTTCTCCACAAAGTCACGCGTAATCTCGTGTTCTAAGCCACCGATATACGGATTTTTTCTCCTCGAGTTGCCAGGATCTGCTGAATGTGGATTATGATCCTCGGTCTGTTATTTGCATTCAGAGCAACCTTCGCTAGCTCGAGACTGTTAGATTTAGGTAGTCAATTCAAGTGATGGGAGTCGAGTAGTATAGGGAATGGGGGTTCTGGACCACTGCCACCAAGACCCGATTCATACCCTCAAACACTGCTACCACAGAGGTCATTTCCCCCACAGTAACGTGTTAGGGTATGAATCTGGTCTAGGCGGCGGTGGTCCAGAACCCCCATTCCCTATACTACTAGTAGTCGTCATAGCCTAGTAGCATTTGAGAGTTATAATTCTAAGTGCTTTTGAGTTTCTACAAATTGAAAATAAATAGATGGTAAGCATGTTTGTCTCGTTCAAGCAGAAATAGTTACAAACTCTAAGGACTGGTGAAGTAATGTTCCCATAAGTCTTCTCAGCTACTTTTTAGAACGGAATTCCCAAGGCTGACACAGGTTCCCTTTGTTAGAGTCGACGAATGAGGCTTGAGATGTTAAGGTGTTACCTGATTAATTGTGTCATGCCCTGGATATTTGCTCATGCTATCTACCAATGATAATGCAGATATCTTGGAATATACGAACTCTTGTAAACGTCTGAGAGAATCAAATCGTCGTGGTCAAATCATAAAGATATTTTAACTCTCATAAAATCTGCACGTAAAGTACAAACCGTATTCAATTTATTTTCGCACATATTTGTAGGCTGTCTACGACAAATGGATCGGCCTAGGCACCCCGAGAGCTAACTTCTTCAAGAAAATCACCGAACATTGGATTGAGAAAGTCAAGAGCAGACGACAACCAGGTTTCCAGTCATGTGATCTCTTTGCCATGACAACAGTGCTGGACAGGGAAAGCATATTGGACAAGGAGGCTGTTCATGCAACTGTGGAGCTACACGGACACCTGACCCGAGGTCAAATGGTCGTTGACTGGAAGGATAGAATGGGCAATGAGCCAAATGTGACGATAATTAAGAAAATCTGTGTTGAGAAGGTGAAGCAGTTTGTACTGGACATGCTTCAATGATAATACCGCCTCAGCTATCTTCACCAGGGTATCCTACCCTTTGTAACACACGCATTTTGTCACACAGCTCAAATGTGAGATGAAATTGGGTTTGACGTCGCCTCCAAGATAATTGCACTTATTGCACTTATATAGCGACGTGCATGCACATGTGTGTGTATGTGTATGGCTTTTGTATGTTCACAAATTCTTCACTATTCAGCACTGCATTACGTTACTTCATCATACATATTAATATACATGGGTTGAGCGGGTAGTCGAGTGGTTAAAACGTTTGCTCGCCACACCGAAGACCCGGGTCGGATTGTCAACATGGGTACAATGTGTGAGGCCCATTCTAGTGTTTTTCCCTCATCCAAGGGTCTTATTAGACAGTGAGTTTTTTTATAATGAGTTTAATTCTATTGCTTGTATCACAATTTTTTGGATTTATTTTCCAGTTTGTTTTCCAATATAAATAAGTTATCTAACCTGTCACTCAGGTTCTCAGCATCTAATTTCACGCAGATCGGCCTAATTATAAGTAAGCTGGACAATTCCATCACAACTGGCAAAATCTGAGTGCATAACAAATGGTATGTGTAACTTATGGGGGACTTGTCAAAAGTCGGTGTGATCATTACTGTTTTCAGGGAGTGGTGGTGGATATAATGCACACGCGTATATACACAGACGTTATATTAAGGTTGAAGGTTTAAATAAACGATCAAAGTGACCTTCTTCATGTTGTTTGTCGTTGAACGCCGCGCTCAGCAATATTACAGCTACATGACAACAGTCTGTCAATAATCGAGTCTAGATCAGACAATCCAGTTATTGAATTCATAAGCATTAAACCACACAAATTGGATACGATGACATGCATCAACCAGGTCAGCGAGCCTGACTTCAAGATCTAGTTAGTCGTCTCTTACTAAAGGCATAGGTTGTTGAAGACCCTTTTCGCGCCCGCCCGGATCTTCTTTCATGTATGCTTTTAGTGATGAATTGTTTTTATGAGTTTGGTTGAATGAGTAAACGTGTGAAAAGCTAGCTGGTTGCCTCAGTGCTTGTAATCGATCCCAGGGGAACCACAAGCCTACCCTCGGTCTCCATATTGATACCATTGACTGAAGGTCACTTCTGAGTTTTAGAAAACTTAAGACAACTGAAATGTATTCAAGATGTTTGAAGCCATACAGTTACACTATTTACATTATTGTTTGTTTGTTAAACGTCCCAGTCAGCAGTTGTTCCAGCTGTATGGTGGCGGTCTGTAAACAACCAACACTGGACACGACAATCCAGGGACTGACATGAGCACAATCCACGCCGGAGTACACTCCTGCTACACTCATTCAAGTGACCCTAATATGAACACAGTTATCCATCTACTTAAAAAAATAAAACTTGCAAAACGACACGATAGAGAAATCCATTCTTGACATCCAAGTTAAAGTGTCTGGTTAAAGATTGCAGATTTAGATAATCTTAAGGAGAATGTTGTAAGAATCGAATTAGGTATGGAGTCAGTGAGCAGCTTTCAGACAAAGAAAACCTAAGAAGGATATTCAGGCGCTTCAGACACAAGTGGGTGAATGCCCAAATGTATCTTTCGTTTCATAGTATATCAAACTCTGCAGATGAAAGAGTATATGGTAGATCAACGCTGCAGATCTGTATGAGATAACCTAATATTTACTGAGACCAGCGAACCAGACACTGCACAGTGACACTATGAGTGAGTGAGTATGGTTTTACGCCGCTTTAAGCAATTTTCAAGCAATATCACGGCGGGGGACACTAGAAATGGGCTTCACACATTGTACCCATGTCGGGAATTAAACCCGGGTCTTCGGCGTGACGAGCGAAGGCTTTAACCACTAGACTACCCGACCGCCCCATAGACACTATGAACGTGAGGGTAAGACATTTAGGCGAGAAGTGGCCATCGCCATGGCCACCAATTGTTCCCCAGTTCTTGCGGATCTGTGTCGGGATGCATATTAATTGAATTTCTGCTCGGATTGGCAAAGTCAAAACAAGGTATTTTGGCCAAGAAGTTTAACTTGTTCAATGTTCAATAACCATCAGATAGCCGACTCCCTTTCACCGATTTACCCACCTCTACTAGAAATAAAGGAGACCTGACCCTGGATATCATACCTTCCCCCTAGAAGGTTCAAGATGCTCAAGTGATGACATGTTCCAGTCTATTGGGAATACTCTTACTGATATATCATCCTACACAGATATTATGATTCTCGACATTTCAAAGCTGGAATAAAAACATTTGTCTGATTTTGTCACTCTTGATGAACATATAATTGAGAATCTAGAACTTAATGTTGATGACATGAGGGCAGAGCTTGGAATCACCCAAAAGGATACTAGTAAACCAAATAATTATGGATTAAGAATGACTGACTTATGCAAAAGTCACAATTTATGCATTTATAATGGCAAATGTGGATAGCTTTCACGGTAAAACTACTTGTAAAATCGTGGCTCATCAAACTATTTAGCAAAATGGTTAGAATTATATGATTCAGAGTTGAATTGTGTCTTTTCTCAAACTTGCATAAATGATATCACAATCGGAAATAGAGACATGTAATTATTTTGTTTTCCTATTCATGTCCTTTCAGCGCTTCTGTAAAAAGGTATTTTCCAAAATTCTTTTTTATAAAAGAGAAATTGAGTTATTTTCCCTGCAGAAAGCATGGGCATAAATTGTTGTGTAATTATTATAATTATTTTATATATCCAACGTGAACAGATAATAATAATGCAGGTGCATACTGCTACAACTGATAACTCACAACACTGCAACTGCTTCGAAAAGCATACACTTGCTATTCGCGATACTTCACTCGAGTGTTTTCATTGACTGTAACACGTCTTAGTTACATTAGCGTGTATCGAGTATGATTAGCCGGGTTCGGCGTAGCACTGCTTACCAAAAGTGGAGAAATGATGTTGCCTCGAGCTCAAAAGGTCTTTATTATCAATATCTCAAAACGTATCCATTATTTGACGCATATCTATCTTTTCCAAAGCGATTCTATATTCCATTACTAAGATTTATTACATCTTATCATAATCTACCGATAGAAACTGGCCGCAGAGAGAACTTGCAATCTTTGAAAATGTTTTTCTATTGCTGATGAATTTCATTACATATTTTACTGTAAAACTCTCTGTGAAGCAAGAAAAATATACTTACCATCTCTCATAACAAAATATCCAAGTATACCAAACTTAGTTAAATTATTTACAACCAAAGGCGCTAAAGAAATTATTACTCTGTCAAAATACCTCTCGAAGGTATTATCTCTTACAAGAATTTTAACTCAAGCCATCTTGTATAATATCTTGTATTTATTTGTTCTGTATTTCATCATTGTGTATTTTCATTTGTCTTTGTATACTGTATATGCTCTTGTACCACCAAACGTGTTTTTTTTAGAATAAATGAACTTGCTATCGCCATTGCCGTGAAACGTTGTTTGTCACCGGAAGTAGTAACCTATCACGAAGTCCCGTGACCTACTCACTGACCCTTTTACCTTGTGCAGAAGACTCGGTGGGCGCCTCGTTAGGATGGCAAGTGCAACGCAACTTCCCCCTGCCAACAACGAGCTCTCAGCTACTGATTTTAAACTATAGAGTGGTGTGTGTTTCTGCTCGTATCCTGCAGATGTTATTCCATGTATCAGTTTATATCAAAAAGAAGAGCAAACCATATGTTACGACACATTGCCCATTACAATTTATAACTTAAAAACTTCAGGAACTTTTCTCACTGTTCATAGGGCCCCAGTGGCCGAAGCAATTGCGAATCTCCAGGGAAACGCCATGCAGTGTGTAAGGTTTGAAAATATCTTAAGACCCGTTTATGCGAAATATATGTATAATATAAAGAATATGCAACTGCGTAGTATATTGAGTAATACCCAAAGGAATATACAAATTCGTGATACATTATATTTTGATCAATTGACATACAAATGTAAATAGATAATGCTTATTAAGGAGCTTGTGGTTGGGTAACTGGCAGAAACACTTCCTCCTTGTGGTATCGCACGACATTGGACGTTTGAATGGGGTGGCTACAAATCATGAGGTCTCTGCACGTCATGCGCCTCCAAGTACCGAGTGTAACAATAACGGTATTCAAGTTACATTCCAGTATTCTGTGTCCCCTTTAGAATAACAACGTATTTCGCAGCGCGTGGGTGTGAATTGGACAATTACAATTTAAAGGGAAGGCTATTAAAGCACTGAAGGTAACACCACCATGAATATACCTTATCGCTGTATAAAGAGACGACGTCCTATAGAAATAGTGTGTCACAGGTGTTGACAGGTATGTTATAGTCATGCTTGGTGACCCTGTTGGAGCGAGTGAATACATCTTTACACAGAAGTCGTCAATGTTCCAGCTTTATCACGGCTGGAGTTTGGCTGTGGTCGATATTGTCAGCAACTATCCACATTGTCGACGCATGGTTACTGAAAATGAGCTGGGTCAGACATTGTAACCATTCGATCCTAATGTGTCGGACCTAACGATACTGTCTAGATACATTCTGTCCCGTTCTGTGTACATCACAGATACTCCTTTAGAATTGGTCCCTAGATGCATACTGGTCGCAAGAGCAGACTTAATGGATCGGGTCCACAGGCATGGTTGATTTGTGTCAACGTACCGCGACAGCGATGAACGTTGCTCACGATATCAGTCATTGGTTTGTGTGATCAAAACGCGATTGTTCAAGCCCTGATATAGCTGGGAGTGTGACGTGGAACAACAAACAAAGAAATATTGCGAAAAGTAATGAGAAAATGAATTGAATAGGTCAAGGGCGTCGTCTACTATGATTTATGTATCAACAAGAGGAAACCATTGCTTTTCAGTGGCCCACTCATATAATTTTAAATGGAATCTGTTTCGGATCAAGACTGGTTATGCTCTGGTTATACTCTTGAATGTATGCGTGATTCACGAGTGGTTTGAATAATACATGACAGAAGTCAACAACCTACATCTAAATGACGAGCACCAACCACCCACTCAGTAAAACCCACACAAACGTGCTGTATTTAAACACGTAGGAGTGAAATCTGATGGTATTTTGATACCCTGTATGAACTTCTGTCACGATATTGGACCCGGGAGCTTTTGTCACAATATTTGATTCGGGAAAGTACCAATATTCATTGGTGGTTGACTGACAATTATATCCCGTGACGTTCAAGGACATCGAGACTCATCAGGAGAGGTGAGGTGAAATTGGGTTTAACGTCGCGACCAAGATTATTGCACTCATATAGCGACGTGCATGCACGTGTGTGCGTGCGTGCGTGCGTGGATGTGTGTGTGTGTGTGTGTGTGTGTGTGTGCGTGCGTGCGTGCGTGTGTGTGTGTGTGTGTGTGTGTGTGTGTGTGTGTGTGTGTGTGTGTGTGTGTGTGTGTGTGTGTGTGTGTGTGTGTGTGTGTGTGTGTGTGTGTGGCTGCGTGTACTAGTCCGGACTGAGATACCATGCCCCCCGAATACCCCACTCAGACCCAGTATATTGACTCCGAGCCGATCAGTCCTTGTTTTAGCCGCTTAATACCGAGAACCAGGCAGGGTAACAACAAGTACCATCTTTTAACGTGTGTTGGTATAAAGCGGGCGGTGACCAAACACCGGACCTTCCACTCTACGGGTGGACGCTCTACCACAAGACCAAGGAGGCGGTCAAGACTCATCAGGAGACACCGAGCTGAATGAATATCAAAATATTATTTAGGACTGCCCCTTAGCAACATTATGTATACATATACATTATGTTTTTCAGAGCCCGGGTTACAGCTGACGGCGGCCTGAAAATAATTTGGTCTAACCTGGAATACTCGTGGAATCTATTCAAGTAAATACAGCAGCTAGGGCATTCATCCGAATGTGTGATGTGCGTATGTGGGAGTATGTACTGCGTATGTGTGAGTATTTACTGCTTATGCATGAGTGTGTAATGCGTATGTGTGAGTATGTACTGCGTATGTATGAGTATGTTCTGCGTATGCATGAGTGTGTTGTGTGCATGCATGAGTATGTTTTGCGTATGTGTGTGTTGTGTATATGTGAGTGTGTTGTGTATGTGTGTGTGTGTATTGTGTTATATGTGAGTATGTTCTGCGTATGTGTTAGTATGTTCTGCGTATGTGTGAGTGTGTTCTGCGTATGTGTGGTTGTTATTTGTATGTATGAGTATGTTATGCGTATGTGTGAGTGTGATGTGTGTTTGTGTGAGTATGTTCTGCGTATGTGTGAGTGTGTTCTGCGTATGTGTGAGTATGTTATGCGTATGTGTGTGTGTGTGTATTGTGTTATATGTGAGTATGTTCTGCGTATGTGTGAGTATGTTCTGCATATGTGTGAGTGTGTTCTGCGTATGTGTGAGTGTGTTGTATGTATCCCGCTAGTGACCGGGTTGTTATTCAGCCTTGGGACAAGCAATGTTTACAGGTCTCTTCACCCTGTGCACTCAAAAGAACCCACTCGTCCGATGGTGGAAACACGAATACCTACATACACCCGAAACACAAATGTAAATGTAAATGTAAAATGTGAGGTGTCACCCTGGGCAAGTGACTTAGTTCAAATGTGCCTCTGTTCACCTTGCAGGGAATGGGTACCCGATATGTGAGATGGATGTAAAAACCTTCTAGCGCCTCTGGGCAGCTTGGGTTACATACTCCCCAGGGAGTTGAGAATCATAAATGGAATTATACAAACGGCTCCCCTTTTGGGGAACAATTAAAAAAACGCATTTGAGCCGTTACTAGTACCCGGATACCGTATACTGTATATAAATGTGTAGTTTGATATTAAAAATATGTGAGTGCTTTGTGCGTATGTGTGAGTATGTTCTGCGTATGTGTGATCATGGTCTGAGTATGTGTGTGTATGTACTGTGTATGTGTGAGTATGTTCTGTGTATGTGTGAGTGCTTTGTGCGTATATGTGAGTATGTTCTGCGTATGTGTGATCATGGTCTGCGTATCTGTGAGTGATTTTTGTGTCCATCAATGAAGTATTCAACATGGTATGGTGTCAATGAATAAAATTGAAGTTCTTGGAGTGTTTATGAACGCCTAGAAATGTTCGTCATGAAACTATGAAACCAAACATGGTTTTGGCTGTTTGTTGTTTAATGCCGAACTATATGACTATGGTAGGTAAATAATCGAATCTTGACCAGACAAGTCAGAGACTGGCATCATGAGCATCGTTCTGCACAATTCTCAAGTCAGCGAGCCTGACCAAACGATCCCGATAGTCGCCTCTTACGACGAGCATGGGTTCCTGAAGACCAATTCCAACCGAGATCTTTACGACTCCATCGCACTTGTAACAGAGTTTGATGTTGCAGGTGTCTTGATGTCCATCTTCGGAAGATTATAAAGGAATATATAATATCGGTTATATATGAAAAATACATGGTTCATAGGACCACATTGTTCGGAGTAATGGAAGCCGAAATGGTTTAACGATTCAAATATACTCTTTGTCAATAAAATATCCGACAACAGCTGCAAACCAGACGCACCATTGGGTTGGAAACAAACGAGATTAATTTGATCTTGAAGTTTGCAGCTTTTACGTTTGGAATGTACGTTGTGGAAGTTCAGCATCTCAATATTGTTTTCTCAGTAAACTTCAGATGGTATTTGCTTTTTTATTTGAGTGAGTGAGTGAGTGAGTGAGTGAGTGAGTGGAGGAGTGGAGGGGTGAGTGAGTGAGTGGGTGAGTGAGTGGTCACCACGTTTCGTGACAAATGCCCAATGGCTCATATGAAATTTATCGTGTGAGATAGTGGCATACTAAGTTTAAAACACAAATGTTTTGAAAGAATTGAACTTTGTTCTTTCATCAAACACGTAATGTTGTGAAGCTTAGATATAATGACCGGGACCGATCACATTGCTTCACATTAACTTATTTCAGGACACCCATCGAACAATAGCTATGGTTTTGGTAAAACCGGATCTATACTATTTCCAGTACTCTCTGGATTATTGTTTTCAATCAATATGAGATGCATCGTATGTATGTAAGCTGTATGAACGTGATGATATATGCTATGCTTTTCTTTCTGCAACGTTTGTCCGCTAAAACATGAATCTAGAGCCAGCCATATATTTAATTTGAATGAACATAGTTTCTCAATTGTCTATTTCCCAAGTCTAATAACAAATTGTAGTTATGAACAGCCGCCTTTCTTATGCTTGACTTTTCAGGCGGTGAGGTCCAAGATTATTGCACTTATATAGCGACGTGCGTGCATTAGACCGGACTAATGCCGATATATAGCGCTAGCCCACTGACGTACCATGCCGCAGTTAAACATGAATACCCCACTCAGACACAGTATACTGACAAGCGCCTGTATATACCAAAGCCTTTGATTCATTCATTGTTAATAGTATTTGCAAGTATAACACATACACACGGTTCTTAGTGAAGAGATTCATGACGCACCTTCTACAAGGAAGTAGATATACCAATGAAATTTTGTTTAGCTCGTAACTTCCACATGGCCTGATCTGTCATATCGAAAGGTGTTATATATATATATATATATATATATATATATATATATATATATATATATATATATATATATATATATATATATATATTCCTTTAACACCAGAAATGATAATGATGTGCTGTGATTATATTGCGACGAATCAAACGTAACCACGCTCAAACAGCCAAACGGCCACAAACGAAACTTGCGAAATCCGACGTTTTGACCTTGAACAAACTTCCCCCTTGTGGGCTATATAAGTAGTAGCTTCATCAGTCTTGGTATCACAACTCATGACCGAGTGACCAAGACTGTGATGGCAACCTTCAAGTGGCAAATAAGGTTTGTCATTATTGTATCCCATAAACATACGTGTAGGTTATCACGAGGCAATTTGATTGTATGCTTGAATTGAGGGACTTCATGTAATTCCTTAGGTCTTTTTATGTACCCTTTTCAGATTTTCGTGTGTTTTTGTTCTAGTTATTTAAAGTTTATTTTAAAAACATCGAAATATTTCTCGTGGATTCGATTATTTTCTCTTTGCTTCGATTATATTTTCGTAATTTCGATTATTTTATCGTAGTTTCGCTTATTTTCTTGTAATTTTAAGTTTATTTTAAAAACTCGAAATTTCGAGTTTTTTCTCGCACTTCGAATATTTTCTCGGTATCGTTTCAATTAATTCTCTCGAAAATTCGAGTATTATAAATAAACTTGACATAACAAGAAAATAATGGAAATAATATGAAACAACGAGAAAATAATCGAAATAACAAGAAAATATTCAAAGGAACGAGAAAAAACTCTTTATTTCTAAAATAAATAAAAATGAAACAACAAGAAAAAAATCGAAGTAATGAGAGAGTACTCGAAATTTCGAGATAAAATTGTAATAACGTGAAATTGTGATTTAGAACAAAATACATTAAAGCTACATGTACAAAACTGGCACCATTGGGACTTCGTACATAATAGATCGCGGGCTCGGTTGTAGTTAACCATGGTCATACTATAGTCCCCGTTGAACGTTAATCATGTTTAAAATATTTTTTTTCGACGAAATGTAATTTGATTTATCTTTCAACAGGACTCAACGAAATATGATGGCATCGAATGTTATTCTCATGGTAACTGCCGTGTTGCATGTGGTGTATGGTCAAACTGGTAGGTAAACGTAATGCTTACATACAGGTTCAACAGTCTTAATTTCAAATAAGAGGTGGTGGTATACACGTTCAGATGAAACCTTATATTTTAGGAAATGACATGAGTGGTTTATTTTAAAAGTGACAATTAATAATTGTTAAATATTAAATGATTCCCATCTGTACAAAGGTATCTTTGAGCATACTCTGTATCAGCCCCATTGGGAATCCAGGACCCACTTGCACAAAGCCATCTTAGCGCTAAGATTATCTTAAGCTATGTTGAAGTACATGTACAGGGGATTCCAGGTAAGAAGGTTCCAGCAAATGAGCCAGTCAAATGAATCACGTGGTCAAACTTTGTGACTTGGTTAATTGCGTGTTTTATAGTCTAGACTCTATTATTTACAGTCTGTCGTCATATAGCGGCGTTAAACATCAAAGAAATAAAAAAAACCATGAAAAAATAAGATCCATGGATTCCCTACAATATAATGAGATAACTCGGTTATATGCGAACAGGGCCGTGTGTGGATTTCAAAGACATTCCTGAGGTCGTCAGGCGAAACCCGAACATCGCAACCCAGGTTGGAGGAGCCACAATAAATGACAGAACGCTCCCTGATGGGTGGTACGGCGCCGCTAACTATGCACTTGAGGAGAGTGCCCCAGGGTTCCTCCGCTGCGGATCACTGTTCCCGATATGGCGACAAAGTAAGTTTCCTTTCACACACATTGCTTACTTTATAAAGAGATTAGTATTCAAATATTTTTCATCCGGGGCGCTCTATAACTCAGCATTTATGTGAATGACAAAGCCCAATGGGTATTTATACTCTGCTCGTCGAAATATAGTCCAAACAAATTCGTAGAATCCCAAACTCAACTTATGGCGTCTAAAATTCTCAATTTCTTAGGTACTCTAAAGCAAGTAAATGTTGTTCAAATTTTACGGAAAGACACATTTTGTTTAAAACTCAGCTTTTCATTTGAGGTTTTACCATAAAAGCTCTGGTTAAGTCATTCCAGAAATTTCATAGGAGACATTCAGAGGAATATAATAATGTAACAGGTCGCTTGTCATCATGATGCGCGATGCTATCCCAAACGATGACATTTACATCGAGTTTTCACACCTCCTTTCTCACTTTTATTCACCTTTTGATGACACGTATGTGGGAAGCGGGTCCTTCCCGAAGAGAAGATATTTACCTGGTGACACGATTGATTTCAGTGATCCATCCATGTAATTTCAACACTAATGTGCCTTTTTCGACGTATTTGATGTTCTTTAGTGCTAAAAGTTCCAAGGTTGGTTATGAGAATCTGATAGAAATTTTAAAACGTTTTACTTATGTCTTATACCTCCGTCCTTTAGAGAAAAACATCCAGGTTCTGAAAAGTATACCTATAAGACAGCAATGTTTAATGCAAACGTAAGAATATTAGCCAAAGACAAAACAAATGATAGCCACTTCAATTAACAATTCAATATTTATTTAATCATAATGTAATAACTCTTTCCTAAAGGTATTTCTGGAACAACAGCAACCATGTGTATTCAAGGTCCATCTAACACATGCTCGAATCCGTTTACGGTAAAAGTCGAAGACTGCAATGGCTACACAGTCTACAATCTGAAGGCATCGCCTATTCATCAGAGCTCCTACTGTTTCCGTAAGCTTTTAGATGTCTTAGTTTCTCCCTTCAGCTTGTCATTAAAATGGAATGTAAAGAAGTGACAAATCTGAAATAGGAATCTTCATTACTAAAGAAATCTTCACCATTGAGGAAAAGGTGGTCCAGTGACCTGTGCAGAGTTGTGCCCCTTTGTACTGCCAGGATTGGCTGATCGCCATGTTTAGTCTTGTTAAACGTTATGTTAAATCCATTTCAGTCATTTGATTCTTTCTAGTTCATAAAAAAAGATGCTACAGAGGTATCTTACAATTCTACCATTCTCGAGCATCTACAGAACAATAATATATTCATGTTAATTATGTTTAAATCGTGAATAACTTTCACTAATTTCATTTTAACAGGTGAGATCACTCCCAGTGAGTATATATTTCATACACTTTGTTGTATTTTGTAGTATTTAATGTTTTGTTTCTTAACAATTGATAAATGACGACCCGCCTCCGTGCTGTAGTGAACATAGCGTCTGCTCGGAGAGCAGAAGGTCGGTGGTTCAATCCCTGGCTCCGTCACATCCAAATTCGTTGAAAGATTGTTCTTGTACTTACGCTGCCTGGTGTTCGGCATTAGGATGATATAGCAATAGCAAGGACTTTTCGAGCTCAGGCGCAGTATAATAGTCTGAATGGGATATCCTTGTAACTGAAAGAAAGAAAGAAAGATGGACAGACAGGCAGAGATGTACAAGCATGCCACATGAGTAAACTCCCTACACATCACTTCACCTAAAGGTAGCGTGTGGTTAACTAGCCACTTAATGACAACAGTCTGTCAATAACAGAATAGTAGACACAAAGTATATAAGGCGGTGTAAACTTGTCAAAAGGGAGTTCACCCATATATCAACAATTATTCAGTATTATGCAATAGTGATGTATTTCTGGATAGATTGCTTGACTTACTTGTTTTCATACCAGACTCGCCAACCTACAGTCCCAAGCCAACTGTCGTCCCTGATACTACTGATACAAGTTTCGACAACAGTGACCTCCTTTTCCGCTGTTCTTTTCCCCCTTCGTCCAACCAAAGACTGTTCCACCAAACCACGTGGTATGTCAACGACGTCGTTGTACACCAGCACCCACCTATGCTAATGGACACTGCCTACTTTGACAACACAGGGATCACTCAAGCGAAGCTTAGCGCAGAGGGAATAACACAAATCGGGTTCAATGTGAGTCACACGCAGCTTTTTATGACGTCTAAACACTTTGATAGTCGGTTATAATACGATTTCTTTGTCTGGAAACAGTAGACACTATACAATAGTCACAATATGTACAATACTCGGTGTTATATAAAGCTGAACATTCACCAATCAGACTCAAAATAGACAACCATTCGTATAACAATATCTTCAGTCAAATCAAGTCAAATAAGATTACAATATTTGTAACTCAAATAGTAAGATTCAGTTTTATAAAAAAAAGGTGCTTTTGGAGTTAGGTGTGTGTTTTATATGTCGATGAATCTTAAGCGTGGGTCAATTACTGGCACAATATCATACTTACTTTACCTCTGTATTTTCATGCCAATGAAGTATTCTTTACATAACTAATGATTTCCATTTGTAGATAACATGTGAGGTTCGAGCTATGTACGGTGTCAGTATGCCTCCAGGTCCCACAGCTAGTTCCGATCCTTTTTATGTCGGATTTGAGGTAAGATGACATAGTTCTTTTCGTATCTTATCCCATCTTATTTCATTGCAGAGAGTTTTACGTTTCATAACACCCTGTATTGGTATTTCAAATCATTCCAATTTCGGGATATCAACACTATCATTAGAAATCTAATGACACCATGATGATTCAGAGGTATAGTTTAAGGTAGTATTACTTTTACTAATCTGGTCAGTTTCATGTGTTGTTAATGTATATACGCTGCTACGTTTGTCTTCCGCCTTGCTGTTGCTGGAATGTTGCTAAAAGCTGCGTAAGACCCCACTTACTGCTTTTATTTAATCAGTGCTAAAAGCTGAGGTAATAGAGGCCTAAACCTACATTCCTACTTAATGAACTAATAACGTCGAACCACCAGAGAATAACTAGAAATATCTGCCGAAACAGAGTGAGTGAGTTAAAATGTAACTGATATCTAGGTTGTAAAAGGTAAAATAGTAATACACATTTTATGAATGCAGACTGAATATCAGTGATGACGCCACGTGGTTACATATTTTAAAACATTCGTTTTACACAGATCCTAACCAAAGAAATAACGATCAAGCAAGGTGAGACGGGACAGGTTCGAGTGCGAGCCACGGCGCCTTTCCGTTGCGGAAACCTGTCCGAGACGTTTTCATCTTTTTGTTCCATGCCAATAGAGATACCAACTGCTGACTCAACAAAAGGGTTTTCCCAGGAAGATTGCGCCATTTCCATACCTTATACACAGTGGAACCAACCTGTATCTGTTACTGTACATGGAACTATAACACCAGAATATGGCAGAGGACGACTGGATTCTCTACTAGTTCTGAGGACCCCTGCAGCAAGCCTGCTATTTCCCTATTGGGCCAACCATACTATTGGAACAGTAAAGGTAAGATAGTTTTAGACACCAACCACAAAGAGTCGTAATCGTTAGATTACACTTTCAACATCTTCAGTTGAATCTATTATATAAATAGGGGCGGTGGGGTAGCCTAGTGGTTAAAGCGTTCGCTCGTCTATTGACATGGTTACGTGTGAGGCAGATCGATTGTGTCTTCCCTCGAGATTTTGCTGGATGATTGCTAAAAGTGGCGCAAAGTCATACTCATGGTTATCTAAATCAGTTTCAAATGTCTTGTTGAGTAACTATGATTACCTTTCCTTTCAGGTTACAGTATTAAAAGATACAGCTCTGGTTAGAAGCAAATCATGCTCCTCCAATAACGACCCATATGTATGGCAATTTGATAGGATGTGAGTGCACAAGGTTATTCAGACTTCCAATCTCCAGTTGGAGAGTTCATTATTGGCTTTAAGATTTTGGAACATTTCAGATAAATTCAAGATATTTTATATGTCATGCCTATAGTTGTCACTACCTGGGCATAACACATATCTTAGCTGTTACTTGTTTATATGATTGTAGATTTGGTTCTTTAAAGACCCCCATGAAATACCACTACAATCGCTGGCTACAATATAAAATACAATACAGTATTCACTTTCTGAAGGGTTTGCTTGTTTTTTGTTTAACGTCGCACTCAGCAATATTGCAGCTATATGACGGCGGTCTGTAAATAATCGAGTCTGGACCAGACAATCCAATAATTGACATCATGAGCATCGATCTACGCAATTTGGGATACCATAACATGCATCAACGAAGTTAAGGAACCTGACCACCGATCCCGTTAGGCGCCCCTTACGACAAGCATATTCGCCTTTTACGGCAAGCATGGGATGCTGAAGACCTATTCTACCCGGATCTTCACAAGTCAAGTACAAACAGGGCCCCATTCCCATAACGACCATCCCATTCTCAGAGGCTTTGTCGAACGGAACTCTTTTTATACAGTGTGATGCTGACAATATTCCTTTAAAGAGCTGTAAATAATTAAAACATATGTGTAAAAAATTTATCAATTTGATTGACAAAACGTAACGTGATAATTCATTGTATCTCACAAAACGTATGTTTGACCTTTTGCAGAAAGCTGACTCTACAGATGGAGGGACGTTTTACATTATATAAACTGGCTAGTCAATTAATAGAGGTAATAATATATATCTTCTTTTCTCTATATAGATATAAAAACGATCATTTATTCTCCATGACTGCATGACATGTATGTGTTGAAGCAGAAGTATGGTCACTATATCCATTATGCACAGGGAGAATAATGATGATGTTTACTCCCCTGCTCCAGAAACCAATCAACCAATACAACTACCTACCGCACCCCCAACAGACTTGTTAACATGCGCACGGTATTGAGGGGATAGAACGGAGACTTCCGGGCCGGAGTCAGTATACCGTGACTGAGTTGGGTATCCATGTTAAACTGCGGCATGGTATCACAGTAGGCTAGCACTATGAAACCTGCTAGTCCTGACTAGTATAGACAGCCACACATACACGTAAATGCGTGTCGCTATTTGGGAAAACAATCCTGAACCCAAAACCAACCCTCAACAATCAATCTTATATCACTAACAATTTAAATATTGCCTGTATCATCAATATGGTAATGTGCATTTACAGATACAGATCGATGTACAGAAATGTACCAGGAGAACTGGATACTGTAATTGTGGAGTAGCTGTTCAATCCGGGAAGACGGTGTTCTCCATCAATAGCTGCGATACCAGGTCATGGAGAATACAGCATCACGGCTGTGACGACTCTGACAACGCCATGGAAATAAAAAAGAGATACAGTATTTATGATGTGCGTATAAATATAGTTGCATGTGTAGATAAATCATCATTTATGAAACTACAAACTGATATCACGGAATGTTGATATAAGCCTTTTTCACAATTAGCTATCATAATATGTATCTTTAAAATGAACATTGGGGCATACGGGATTCCTTCTAATAAAAGTCATTCCTAATTCTAGATTTCTAATTGTTACGAATCCATCACATATGACAGGATATCGTAGTTCTGACATTTGAACGTCACCGTTTGTCAAGTACACTGATATGTTGTCATTGTAGATATATTTGCCCACGGGGGCACGAGTACAAGTCCATACCTTCTCCATTGGGAACGGAAAGAACGCCTTAAATGTTTATCTTCCTGGCACGATCCTTGATACGTTGGCAAGTCGTGGTTTGTGCGGCCAGCTTTCTAACACACGCAGTGACGACTTAATCATGAGAGATGAGACACGGAGTAGCAACAGAAATACGTTCTTCAATTCCTGGAGGTAAGGTTCCTTCAATGCATGTCATGTTTTAACAATGGAAATATCTGAACAAAACGCGTAGTGTCCAACGTTGTTATCTTTGTCGAATATGCGCATTTGACACATATATGCTACCATTTTTCAGAGTAGGGACGCACGACCTGTTTAACACCGATTATGTGAGGACACTTACAACGTTGCAACAGTCCCCAAAGTACTGCTCCTGTGAAGGCGGCAGAAACGTCACATGTTCTCTTGCGACGATGACCACTGTGGTCAGGCCAAATCATTACAAGGACGTTCCCTGTGCCATACACGGCAACAGGAAGAAGCGAATGGTGCCGAACAGGAACATCGGCCACCGATACAAAAGGGTATTCATTATATTTTTGTTTGTTTTTTATTCTAAGTTGAGGATCCCCCCAAATGCATATTATAAATGTTCATTACTTTGTTCCCTGAAGACAATTCTGCAAACACACGCAAGTTTCTGCAAACAATTAATTGTGATTTAAATTATTTAAACGGTTTGATTCACAATTTTTGCTATATGATTCAAATATAATCTCCTTTTGTCATTCCAGCAAACTTCAACAGAAGTGTGGAACAACCAGACAGCGGCTGAATTCTGCAACAACCTGTTCGCAGCGTCCACGACCGTCCAGCTGTGCAGCAACGTCCCAGGAGTCGACATCAACAGCAGCCGCGACGACTGCATCAGTGACATTATGGTAAATTATAATACTTTATCGAAGGGCCAAACATATAACAGTCTTTGGCAATACTAATGATAATGATGATAATAATAATATGTCTCGTTGTTTAGGTGACCTTAATAATTAAAATTCAGAGTATTTCTTTCCTTACGCTAATAATGTCTGTGATCAAGTTCTGAATATATGACAATACCATAACATTATGTGCATGTTTATAATGTTTGCAGCTCTCTGGCACAACTGACTTTCAAATGATGTCTATCGGCTCAGTGCGTACTTCCTGTGAGACGGAAGTATTTCTCAACCCCGATCTTTGGGTAACTGACCCCAACAACCCAGGGGCCCCTACTGTGTTAGACACGATCACCAACAACGTCTGTCCCAACGACTGTAGCAACAGAGGCACCTGCAACAAAGGTATATCTCACCACGCGTAAACTCAAGGGAGTTTATTGTTGAAATCATTTAATTTTATACACTATTGATGCCGTTGCGATGTTGTTGTTGTTGTTGTTGTGGTTGCAGTAGATTCCGAGCCAAGAATTCACTGGATATTGGCGCAACTATAGGTCATTATGTAAAGCTATTTTACGACAAACCTCTTACTTAATCTAATACCAGTGAATAAACATTAGACTAAATAAAGCTGAAAGGATCGTTGTTGACACAGGTACTATAGAAATGTACCCTTGCCAAAATCAAAATACAGAAACGTAACTGGTTCCCTTAACGGTAGACGAGTCCATATTCCCCAACCCGAAACCGACACTGGTTCATGTTGTAGATCCGGTTCGTCTGATTACGGGTGCATGCGTGCATCGCGGAACATTAGACTATCGTTCGAACGTCACTATATGATACGCTGGAATGCAGCTTAAGAATATAATCGAAAAGTTCGTCCTGACGAACGCCCACTTCCATGATGAATTTAACCGCTGTTTGGCATACAGGAAGTGACGAATATCTAATGAACCGGTTACGCGCATTGCACCCTGCGGCCCTGCGGCGGAATGGACTCACGCTAGGGCACGTTTCTGTACTTTGAATTTGGCTAGAGTACATTTCTGTATACAGAAACGTACCTCGGGTACATTTGTGTTGTAAATGTGCCGAGAACGGCCCCTTCAGCCTTAATAAACATGTATTAATAAATAGAGTAAGGTAAGTGAGCACAATAAGGATGATATGGATCCAACATTTTCAGGACTGTGCATCTGCAGTGCCGGATTTGGCAGTGCTGACTGTTCAGTGGACTTGACCCAACCACCTGTTCTGGACGAGGCCGAGGACAACGGTCACTGCGACCTGGCTACCAGGAACTGCCAGATGTTGACAGTGTTTGGATTGACTTAATATCTCTTGAACTGCTTACTTAGGCTGAGCAGAGTATTCAACTTTTAATAATGATATTGCTAGTGGGCATGTAAACGTAGGTGATAGTTTGTAGTACCATTGAATAAGAATATGCCTGTCAATAGTTAAGCAGTTGAGCGGTCTGAAGGCTACAGCTTTTGACAATCGCTACAGATAAGTAAAGGTGTATTAAGCACTTCAGCAAGTGATCCAGCTGGATTAACGCCGCCTTTCCAGTAATGTACTACCCGAAAGAAGTTGAATAAGACCGGATTTATTCAATGACAATTAATAATATGTCAGATCATGGCAAATTAACTATTCTATGAAATAATCGTGTGTTCTGGTAGTCCGGACTGATGCTGGTTTTATATTTTTTACATGGCTGTAGGCTCAGAGACATTATACTGGATAGTCCTTGTCCCCTTAATTCCGAGTGGGTAACAACAAGTACCACCTTTGGGTATGGTTTGGGATCGAAACACCGACCTGTCGCTCTCCGGGTAGATGCCCTACCCACCAGCCACGGACACGATCCACACGGGAATACTTGTACATGTTTTATACGTTCTTGTAGGTGGGCAATGGTGGATCCCTTAATGAGCCGGATACCCAGGTATCAGATGGTACTGAGCGGAGCTTGAGTGAAGTGGGATGCCCTGTAAGGGTGGACGCACCCAGGGGCATTGTCACAGCCTACAACATCTCCGTGGCCAACATTGACAACATCTACAGCGAGAGTGTCGAAGTTCTGGTATATGATAGCACGTGTGTGACTGTTGATCACGAGTCCAAAATCTGGATCGTAAGGGTAAGCCATAGACTATGTAGACTTTTCAAATTAACGCTTTTATTATTATTCAGTAAATATAATGCCGAGGTATAACCACGAATGCGCCAATCGTTCTGTCGATCTCTTTGAATTTCTCCTTTAATCTCTTCTAAAATTAATTTACACTGATAAATACAAAATAACAAGTCAACTAGAACACAATTCTGGTAAGACCGGGGGCAAAATTATATTTTTCCGGTACTTTTATATCTAATTATTTCGTCCACGAATTATACCTCCATCCCCTAACCCCATATTAACATAAAAGCCTTTATTATTTGATCAAACAAATGAATATAGAGATTACCTCAACCCTGACACAAACCGCGAAGGTCAACTTGAAGTGAGTGATTGAGTGGGTGAAGGAGTGAGTTTCCCTCCGCTTTTAGCAATGTTCCAGCAATATTCACACATTGTACCCATGTCGGGAATCGAACCCGGATCTTTGGAATTATTTGATCAGACAAATGAGTGTAGAGATTACCTCAACCCCGACGCTAACCCCGAAAGCCAACTAGAAGTTCAACATAATCAGTCAGTTCGGAAGAACAGATTAAACCCCAAAATGAAAGGATTAATATTCAGGACATTTAGATTACATTGTTTGCATTGGTAACTGTTCAGTACATTACCATACTACGAATTATGTTCTTGTCAGCGATCAATAAACTGAAAGTGTGCATTTTATGTATCAACAGAATGGATACACAGTGCAAAACGGCGTGTGCATCAGTAGAGACAGCTCAAGTAAGTGTCTTCAGATATCTTGGTCACAAAATGTTGCCATCAGCTGCAATTTCGTCCATTAGCAGAATCTATATTAACTGAAAGTCTTAGTCCAGTTCAATCAGAGGGATGCGTTAGTGAGATTTAAGATGTAAATTGCGTCCAAACATAACTTATTCCACTGTGATCTCACATGAGCATCATATTTTAAGCCCCATTACTGACGCTTTGTATGAGTGAGGTTTACTAGTGAGGTTTATGAAAAGTTAATCCGGAATAAGGATTATCAATAACATGTTATTTTGGGAAAGAAAATTTGGACCACTATTGAGAGTGATTCGGTTCCATTGATTTATATACTGTTTACTTGGTAATAATATTTGTTTACCTTTATTACAAAATGTTACTTCCCTTTCACAGTCGAACATCTCTAATAAACGTTTTCCACACACAGGCGGCCCTGACGACACTACCACAACCCGATCGACGCCGACATCAAAACCGATCATAGACGTAACTGATTCAGTTGTGATACCAAATAGCACAGGCGCCAACTGCAAAATCACCATGTCCTATGTGACACTCCTTGCCTCCCTTATTTCTGGTGTCCTCTCACTGGCTTTGCGTGACTTCTGAACTCCCCCATTTCCCCTATGCGCTCAATGCTTTTTCTGAGTATATGATAGGCTTCAGCTGGACTTGTATAACAAAAGCACCCATACAACTTCGCAATCTTCAAGCTCATTGTTCACCGGTCTATATAGGAGTTGCACTTGGGAGAGATATGGTTTATTCAGTGCAATGAAGAACACAATTATGAAGCACAGATTAATACTAAGTAGTAAAATATTAAAGATATAATTTGACAGTTTGTCAATTTTGAAGCACAGATTGATATCAATAAGTAAAGAATTAAAGATAAATATAACAGTTTGTCTAAAGTGGCTGCATTGCTTGAAGTCTCAAGACTATTGACATATTTATACATGGGTGCATTACGTAGACTTCTGAACCTATCCAGGGACCTTATACAGTCGATCTATATCCGAGTAGGCGATAGGCTAAATACTAAGCTTGAACTAGACTCGTTTAAGACAAGTATCTATACAACCTGCAGGCCAATCTTTACAATCTCATTCTTCGCGGATGATATTTGTTTGTTGACATTTGAATTGGACAAACGTCGCATGTCCTCACATTTAAGACAAAAATAATGACACTCATATTTGGTCAAATATATATATATTCTAGTTTACAGCGTCAAGCATTTCTGTCATCACTGATTTTCAGTGATCCATTCTTATATTTTTCACCGCTATTTTGCCTTTTACACCCAATGGAATGAGTTCGTTGAATAATAGAGATTGGATATTCTCTGGTTTTGAAGTTTTATATGTCCATTATTACCAATTTCAAAATATGAATAGCAAGAAGAGTTACAAAGGTCTTTTCTTTGCTGCTCACATAGGTCAAAACCTAATTAAACTTAATAAATGAAACACATATACATATAAACTGCAAACGTACCAATGCGCTTCTGAATAGGTTTCACGATTGAAACCAGATGACGATGCCTGTGGTGAAATCATAGAAAATACGTAATTAGAGTATAGGAAAATATATAAGTTGTATATGAAATTTTCTCACATGCAAATTGGGTGTTATTTCATTTATGGGATTGGTGGGGAAGTCTAGCAGTTAAAGCGCTTGCTTGACATGCAGTCTGTCCGGGTTTGAATCCCCACATAGACAGCAATGTGTGAAGCCATGCTAGTGCTGAAATGTGTCCCCTGTTTTCCAATTCCATGTTTTGACACTGTACGATGCTTTTCTTCATTTTCCATCCGGAAAATCGTAAATGTCTAAATATCGATGTTTTTGTACAAAATATCCCCTAACTAACTGTTGAAAAGTGTTGCTATGGAAGTACTTATTGTTGGTATGGTTGATCACAGATTCTTGAATGCTTGTCACAAAATGCTTCAAAATAAAAGAATGGCTAATTCACACTTTGTTCTGTTTTTGTGTTTGTTTATCAAAAGGATTCAGAAATGAGCTTCATGTTTGGTGAGAGATGTATTGGGTGAGTGTGCATGCCGCTGAGAAGAATATTTCAGTTATATCAGGGTAAGTCAGCTTGATGTTAGAGACAAGGCCGAGGCGCTGCATGTCTTATATGTTTACCTCATTGCGGGTTTGTGCTGACAAACAGAGAAACGTAATATAGTCGCACCTGGGATCCGAACACACGATAGTAGGTTTCTGGCACTCGCAATGGACGCATCACTCCACGGCGAATGTTTGAAGCGTGTCGTCTTAAGACGAGGTATATAAATTGTGGGTAGTTGTGAACTAAAACAACTATTCAAAGGTGAAAAACAAAGAAATAATCAAAGGGGATTAAAAAGGAACAGTCGACAATACGTTACGACTGCAACATTGTTATTCGGCGTCAAATTGAAATAATAATTTTGCTGCTAAAGCGGACATTGAAACGAGGATCGAGATGCTGTTTCTGGTAAAATATGTGTTCATTTCTATTGTATTCTTCGACGAATTTACCACAAACTACGCATTTTACAGTTACTGGCTTCTGCCTCAAGATTTTATTTTTAGAATGCATGAGTGAATGGATTGAGTTTTACATTGCGTTCAGCAACAATCCAGCAATATCACGGCTAGGGCATCAGCAATGGGCTTCACACATTGTATGTTGGGAATCAAACAAGGGACTTTCGCGTGACGTGCAAGCGCTTTAACCACAGGCTTTCCCACCACCCATATGTAGGCATTTAACACCGACGTTAACTGCGCCATATCTGCATTGGTGGCGTCAATACATTCACACTGTTCGTCATTCCTTGATTAAGCCAGTCGCTACAATTGATCTTCCTTTTTATACTCTTTTGTGTCATAAAGACGCTGTTTCAAATATGACAACACACCGCAAAAATATTTTTGGGCATACTGAAACATATATTCCACAATTATGATGTTAATATAAGTTGAAACGCGAAGTTTAACTGTGTGAAATTGATATGTAGAGAACTAATATGTGAAGTCATTAAATAACCACACACGATCAATGAATAATAAACAAATTCAGTAAAGAACGGTTATAACGAACTCAAAGGGACTACTAATTTTAGTTCGTTTAACCGTAGTTCGTTATAAGCATATATACAGCTAAACTACAGCAAAGAGTCGGGACCAAAAAAGTAAGTTCGTTATATCTGTCAGTTCGTTATACGCGTGTTCGTTATAACCGTAGTTTACTGTATATTGAAACACACAGGCTCAGGTTTACAATGATAACAGGCAATACAATGTGTCCAACATGTGGCAGCAGCAATATACAATAGGCCCTATTACATCAGTCGGTGCACTCACGAATGTCCAGAATGTGTCACAATTGAATATCTTGAACAAGCACGTGTTCCGTTCTTGAATCCAGGAAATCGCTTTGGAAGCAGGAGGAGCGTCGATGTTTCCCCATGGGTGTCCCGTTCACTCATTGCAAGTAGATAAATCACAGGTCAGGTCGTAGAAAGAGGCCTAGTATCACCCTCGTTATGTTGGTTCCGCCATACTTCTAGAAACTACTAGCGTCAAGCGTCTCGAAACATGGAGGATCGACAACTGTAACCAAGGTCATCACAACGGTGCTCTCTATATCTGTATAGTAACGAAGGTGTCAAGCACTAGGATGGAGTTTGGAATATAAACAAGTTAAAAAACCACAGCTCCAAACTACTAGCTGTCAAAATCACTACTTAAGCTTGATATTTTGTACGAGCGCCTCAATCAATGTGATTTATAATCACTTACAATCATCAGAAATAAAGTTACAGTAAATATATGAAATCATAGGTTTCATGCGAAGCATTGTGGTTGTAGAGGAGATGAAGGAAATAACGACGAACGGGTCTATCCAATTCCTGGGTGCACGTGATTTTGACTTTTCAGATCACTCACGTCACTAAACAGCGATAGGAAATCGTCTGCATGCTCGGCGACCATGCTCATGCACCGCTGTCAACAAATAGACAGAAGAAGAATACGAGGACAAGATTCCCTCAAACTGTCATTGGGAGATCAATTCGGAGCATGCCACGCCATGAAAACAGCAAAGTCCAACGGGTATTAACATCTCTGACACATAGAGTGCTGACAGTCACACAGAAATTAAAGAATGTATTGCAATCTTAATCGATGTATGAAGACGCAAAGACTATCTAAAGTATATTACACGTTCTATTTATATAAACAGTGTGAGAGTACACTTCGGTGATTCAGTTTGAGCCACGTTCCTGATCCAATCACAGAATTGAGCAATGATGTCGACTCGAGAGGGCCAAGGTGAGGGAAAGCAAGTCAACGCAAGTGCAGAGAATACAGAACTGTGAGCGAAAAACGGAAAGTATCAGGATCACCACCAGGTGTGATGAAGAATACAAAGTCATACTTTTTAAAATGTGTTTTTCAAATGAAAAATGCCGAGCGAATGGATGAAGACAAGTATCAAACCTATCCCGAAATCATCATGTGTTTATAAATATGTACCTTTATCCTACAGAGGTATATATCACTTACTAACTCGAGCAATAAACGTTATTGTTCTGTGTTAAATTAGAGAATGTGTAAGTATGCTGAGAACGATAACTTTTTATCTGACGAATAAGGAAAAGGAAAGGTCGACAGAGGAACACATTTCATCTTTAACATCTATAGTGGAATCGAGGAAATCGCTCAAGTAATCAGCTTATTTAACCTTTATTGGCTTCAAAGGGCTTAATATACTATTGAAGGGCTATTCTTTGAAAGAAGTTATCAAACCTTGAGATATGTGGACGGATGTATGAGGCTATTATATCTTCATATACGAGTGTTAAATGTTGTGAGGGGATTTTACTCAGTTGTTCGATGTGAGATGGGATTTGCAGCAAGGATGCTTACTTTCCCCTTTGTTGTTCAACATATACATAAACGATCTCATTACTACATTAAATGGATTGGATTCATACATACATACATGTACATACATACATACATACATACACACACACACACACACACACACACACACACACACACACACACACACACACACACACACACACACACACACACATACATACATACATACATACATACGTATGTACTGTGTATGCGTGAGTATGTACTGTGTATGTGTGAGTATGTACTGTGTATGTGTAAGTACTGTGTGTGTAAGTATGTACTGTGTATGTGTAAGTACTGTATGTGTGAGTATGTACTGTGTATGTGTAAGTACTGTGTGTGTGAGTATGTACTGTGTACATTGAGGAAGTTCAGCATCTCAATATTGTTTTCTCACTAAACTTCTGATGGTATTTGCTTTTTTTATTTTTGTGAGTGGGTGACTGAGTGAGTGAGTGAGTAGGTGGGTAGGTGTTTGTGTGAGCGAAATCTAAGATGTATCTATATATGGTCACCACGTTTCGGGATAAATGCCCAATGGATCATATGAAATGTATCGTGTGAGATAGTGGTATACTTAGTTTAAAACACAAATGTTTTGAAAGAATTGAACTTTGTATGTATGTAAGCTATATGAACATGATGATATATGCTATGCTTTTCTATCTGCAACGTTTGTCGGCTAAAACATGAATCTATAGCAAGCTATATATTTAACTTGAGTGAAATAATTTGCGCAGTCTACCAATAAAACTTTCGCTGAAAACCATGAGAAAAAACGCCATTCTTCATCTCCAACTGAAGAACAGAGAGTTATTTATACACAGCTCATTTAAAAGGTCCAGTTCGTGTGAGGTTTCGCCTTTCTTATGCTTGATTTTTCAGGCGGTGAGGTCCACGATTATTGCACTTATGTAGCGACGTGCGTGTGTGCGTGTGGGCGTGTGCGTGTGCGTGCGCTCGCGCGCGCGTGTGTGTGTGTCTGCTTATACTAGACCGGACTGATGCCGATTTATAGTGCTAGCCCGCTGAGATACCATACCACAGTTTAACATGAATACCCAACTCAGACTACAGTATACAAGCGCCTGTATATACCAAAGCCTATGATTCATTCATTGTTAATAGTATTTGCAAGTATAACACATACACACCGTTCTTAGCGAAGATATTCATGACGCACCTTCTACAAGGAAGTAGATATACCAATGAAATTTTGTTTACCTCGTAACTTCCAGTAACATGGCCTGATCTGTCATATCGAAAGGTTATATATATATATATTCCTTTAGCACCAGCAATGATAATGATGTGGTGTGATTATATTGCGACGAATCAAACGTGACCACGCTCAAACAGCCAAACGGCCACAAACGAAACTTGCGAAATCCGACGTTTTGACCTTGAACAAACTTCCCCCTTGTGGGCTATATAAGTGGTAGCTTCATCAGTCTTGGTATCACATCTCATGACCGAGTGACCAAGACTGTGATGGCAACCTTCAAGTGGCAAATAAGGTTTGTCATTATTGTATACCATAAACATACGTGTAGGTTATCACGAGGCAAATTGATTGTATGCTTGTATTGAGGGACTTCATGTAATTCCTTAGGTCTTTTTATGCACCCTTTTCAGATTTCCGTGTTTTTTCTAGTTATTAAAAGTTTATTTTAAAAACATCGAAATATTTCTCGTTTTTTCGATTATTTTTTCGTAATTTCGATTATTTTCACGCAATTTCGATTATTTTCTCGAAATTTCGATTATTTTCTGGTTATTTTAAGTTGATTTAAATAATTCGAGTTGTTTATCGTTTCTACGAATATTTTCTCGTCACTTCAATTAATTCTCTCGAAACTTCTTGACATAACAAAACAAAAATTGAAATTAGGAGAAAGTGATCCAAATAACGAGAAAATAATCGAAGCAACGAGAAACAATTCGAAATGCCGATTTTTAAAAGAAAAACTTGAAATAACGAGAAAAAGTTCTTTATTTTGAATTATCTTTCGACAGGAATCACCGAATAATGATGGCATGGAATGTTATTCTCATGGCAACTGCCGTTTTGCATGTTGTGGATGGTCAAACTGGTAGGTAAACGTAGTTTCTGCATACATGTTCAACAGTCTCAATTTCAAATGAGAGGTGGTGGTATACGTTCTGATGAAACCCTATGTTATCGGAAATGACATGAGGGGTTTATTTGCAAGTGACAATCAATAATTGTTAAATATTAAATGATTCCCATCTGTACAAAGGTATCTTTAAGCATACAATGTTTCAACACCATGGGGAATCCAGGACCGACTTACACAAATCTTAAGCTATGTTGATGTATAGGCGTTACGATCATCTTAGCAATAAGATCGCTTTGTTCAAGTAGGCCCTGGTAAAAATGGATCACTTTGTCACCTCGCTTTTATGTCCGCAGAGCCGTGTGTGGATTTCAAAGACATTCCTGAGGTCGCTAGACGAAACCCGAACATCGCAACCCAGGTTGGAGGAGCCACAATAAATGACAGAACGCTCCCTGATGGGTGGTACGGCGCCGCTAACTATGCACTTGAGGAGAGTGCCCCTGGGTTCCTCCGCTGCGGATCACTGTACCCGATATGGCGACAAAGTGAGTTTCCTTTCACACACATTGCTCACTTTATTAAGAGATTGATTTTATTGGTTTTTCGTTTTACGCTGCACTCAGCAATATTCCAGCTATATGACGGCGGTCTGTAAATATTAGAGACTGGACCAGACAATCTAGTGGTCGACATCATGAGCATCGATCCACGCAATTGGGATCGATGACGTGCTTCAACCAAGTCATGGAGGCTGACCACCTGATCCCGTTAATCGCCTCTTATGACAAGCATAGTCACCTTTTACGGGCATGGGTTGCTGAAGACCTATTTTATCCCGCATCTGAGATTGGTATTCCATTCTTGTCATGTGATATAGTCCAAAGAAATTCGTAGAACCCCAAACTCAACTTATGACGTCTACATTTCCCTATTTCTCAGGTGCTTTTCAAATTATTCACATATTTTGTATACAACTTAGCTTTTCATTCACGCTTTTACCCAAAACGTTTTGGCCAAGTCATTCCAGAAATTTCACAGGAGACATTCAGAGGAACATAATAATATTACAGGTCGCATTTCATCATGATGCGCGATGCTATCCAAAATGATGACATTTACATTTCACACCTCTTTTCTCACTTTCATTCTCCCTTTGATGACACTTATGTGGGAAGCGGGTCCTTCCCGAAGAGAAGATATTTACCTGGTGACACGATTCATTTCAGTGATCCATCCATGTGATTTCATCACTAATGTGCCCTTTTCGACGTATTTGATGTTGTTTAGTGCGCAAAGTTCAACTGTTGGTCATATGAATCTGATAGCAATTTTAAAACATTTTCCTTATGTCTTAAACCTCCGTCCTTTTGGGAAAAAACATCCAGGTTCTGAAAAATATACCTAAAAGACAGCAATGTTTAAAGCAAACGTAACAATATTATAAATACAAAACAAATGGTAGTTACTTCAATTAACAAATCAATATTTATTATATTGTAATGTAATAACTCTTTCCTTCAGGTATTTCTGGAAAAACAGCAACCATGTGTATTCAAGATACATCTAACACATGCTCGAATCAGTTTACCGTACAAGTTGAGGACTGCAACGGTTACACAGTCTACAATCTGAAGGCATCGCCTATTCATCAGAGCTCCTACTGTTTCCGTAAGCTTTTGGATGTCTTAGTTTACTTGCTTCTCCTCTCAACTTGTCATTAAAATGGAATGTAATTAGAAGTGTCAAAGAGGAAATAGGAATCTTGATTACTAAAGAAATCTTCACCATTGAGGAGAAGGTGGTCCAGTGACCTTTGCAGATTTGAGCCCCTTTGTACTGCAAGGGTAGGCTGATCGCCATGTTTAGCCTTGTTCGAAGTTATGTTAAATCCATTTCAGCCATTTGATTCTTTCTAATTCATAAAAAAAGATGTTACAGAGGTATCTAACAATTCTACCATTCTCGAGCATCTAAAGGACAATAATATATAAATTCATGTTAATGATGTTTCTATTTTGAATAACTTTCACTACTATCATCTTTACAGGTGAGATCACTCCGAGTAAGTATTTTATACACTTTGTTGTATTTTATAGTATTTAATGTTTTGTTTCTTAACAATTGATAAATAGCGACCCGCCTCCGTGCTGTTGAAAACATTGTGTCTGCTCGGAGAGCGGAAGGCCGGTGGTTCAATGCCCTGGCTCCGTCACATACAAATTCGTTGAAAGATGGTTCTTGTACTTACGCTGCCTGGCGCTCGGCATTAGGATGATAAAGCAATAACAAGGATGTGCCAGCTCAGGCGCAGTATAATAGTCTGAATGGGATATCTTTGCAACTGAAAAAAAGAAAGAAAGATGGACAGACAGGCAGAGATGTGCAAGCATGCCACATGAGTAAACTAATCGTGAACCGATGCTAAACTCCCTACACATCACTTCACCTAAAGATAGCGTGTGGTTAACTAGCCACTTAATGGCAACAGTCTGTCAATAACAGAATAGTAGACACAAAGTATAAGGCGGTGTAAACTTGTCAAAAGGGAGTTCACCGATATATCAACAATTATTCAGATGTATTTCTGGATAGATTCCTTGACTTACTTGTTTTCATACCAGACTCGCCAACCTACAGTCCCAAGCCAACTGTCGTCCCTGATACTACTGATACAAGTATCGAAAAAAGTGACCTTCTTTTCCGCTGTACGTTTCCCCCTTCGTCCAACCAAAGACTGTTCCACCAGACCACGTGGTATGTCAACGACGTCGTTGTACACCAGCACCAACCTATGCTAATGGACACTGCCTACTTTGACAACACAGGGATCACTCAAGCGAAGCTTAGCGCAGAGGGAATAACACGAATCGGTTTCAATGTAAGTCACACGCAGCTTTTTATGACGTCTAAACACTTGGATAGTCGGTTTTAATACGATTTCTTTGTCTAGAAACAGTAGACACTATACAATAGTCACAACATGAACAATACTCGGTGTTATAAAAAGCTGAACGTTCACCAATCAGACTCAAAATAGACAACCATTCGTGTAACAATATCTTTAGTCAAATCAAGTCAAATAAGATTACAATATTTGTAACTCAAATAGTAAGATTCAGTTTTATAAAAAGGGTGCTTTTGAAGTTAGATGTGTGTTTTTATATTGAGTCAATTACTGGCACAATATCATACTTGTTTTAACTCTGTATTTTCATGTCAATGAAGTATTCTTTGCACAACTGATGCTAAAAATAGAATTTCCATTTGTAGATAACATGTGAGGTTCGAGCTATGTACGGTGTCAGTATGCCTCCAGGTCCCACAGCTAGTTCCGATCCTTTTTATGTCGGATTTGAGGTAAGATGACATAGTTCTTTTCGTATCTTATCCCATCTTATTCCATTGCAGATAGTTTACTTTTCATAACACCCTGTATTGGTATTTCAAATCATTCCAATTTCGTGATATCAACTTTAGCATTAGGAATCTAATGACACCATGATGATTAACAGGTATAGTTTAGGGCAGTATTACTTTTACTAATCTGGTTAGTTTCATGTGTTGTAAATGTATATACGCTGTTACGTTTGTCTCCCGCTTTGCTGTAGCTGTAATATTGCTAAAAGCTGCGTAAGACCTCACTAACTGCTTTTATTTGATCAGTGCTAAAAGCTAAGGTAATAGGGGCCTAAACCTAAATTCCTCCTTAATGAATTAAAAACGTCGAACCACCAGAGAATAACTAGAAATATCTGCCGAAACAGAGTGAGTGAGTTAAAATGTAACTGATATCTAGGTTGTAAAAGGTAAAATAGTGATACACATTTTATGAATGCAAACTGAATATCAGTAATGACACCACGTGGTTACATATTTTATAGCATTTGTTTTACACAGATCCTAACCAAAGAAATAACGATCAAGCAAGGTGAGACGGGACAGGTTCGAGTGCGAGCCACGGCGCCTTTCCGTTGCGGAAACCTGTCCGAGTCGTTTCCATCTTTTTGTTCCATGCGAATCGAGATACAAACTGCTGACTCAACAAAAGGCTTTTCCCAGGCAGATTGCGCCATTTCCATACCTTATACACAGTGGAACCAACCCGTATCTGTTACTGTACATGGAACTATAACACCAACATATGGCAGAGGACGACTGGATTCTCTACTAGTTCTGAGGACTCCTGAAGCAAGCCTGCTATTTCCCTATTGGGCCAACCATGCTATTGGAACAGTAACGGTAAGATAGTTTTAGACACAAACGACAAAGAGCTGTAATCGTTAGATTACACATGCCACATTTTTAGTTGAATCTATTATATAAATAGGGGCGGTGGGGTAGCCTTTGAAGCGTTCGCACGTCGCACCAAAGACCTTGGTTCTATTGACATGGTTACATGTGAGGCAGATCGATTGTGTTTTCCTTCCAGATTTTGCTGGATGATTGCTAAAAGTGGCGCCAAATCCCACCATGGTTATCTAAATCAGTTTCAAATGTCTTGTTGAGTAACTATGATTTCCTTTCCTTTCAGGTTACAGTATTAAAAGATACAGCTCTGGTTAAAAGGAAATACTGCTCCTCCCAGAATGACCCATATGTACGGCAATTTGATAGGAAGTAAGTGCACAAGGTTATTCAGACTTCCAATCTCCGGTTGGAGTTTTCATTATTGGCGTTAAGATTTTGGAACATTTTAGAGAAGTTCAATATGTATGCCTATAGGTCTACAAGTTATCACTACCTGGGCAAAACATATATCCTTGCTGTTAAGTGTCTGTATGATTGTACATAACAACTCAAATGAATAACTAACAACGACTAGTTCTTCTCCTGTAGGCTATACCCTGTATCAGGTAATACCCCTACAGTCGCTGGCTGCAGCATAAAGTACAATACAGAATTCACTTACTGAAGGAGACGTAGTACAAGTCGATATGTACAAACAGGACCCCATTTCTCATTACGACCATCCCATTCTCAGACTTAGATCTTCATTCTGAAAGATCACTTTGAGGAACAGAGCTCCTTTAATGAACTGTGCTTAATCAAAACATATGTGTAATTAAAACGTATCAAATTGATCGAGAAAATATAAGTGTGATAATTCATTGTTTCTAACACAACGTATGTTTGACTTTTTGCAGACGTCTAACACTACAAATGAAGGGACGTTTTACATTATATAAACTGGCTAGTCGATTAATGGAGGTAATATATAACTTCTTTTTTTCTATATAGATATAAAAACTACCATTTTTTCTGTTGCAAAAAAAAGACGCAAATGTGTCTCCACGACTGATGTGTTGACATGGAAGTATTGTCACTATATTCATTATGCTCAGGACCCGTGTAGATCCGGGGTGGAATAATTCTTCAGCAGCCAATTCTTGCCGTGAAAGGCGACTATGCTTGTCGAAAAGGCGACTGACGGGATCGGCTGGTCAGGCTCGCTGACTTGGTTGATGCATGTCATCCATCCCAATTGTGTGGATCGATGCTCACAATATCAATCACTGTATTGTCTGGTCCAGACTCGATTATTTACAGACCGCCGTCATATAGCTGGAAAATTGCTGAGACGGCGCTAAACAACAAACCAACAAACCAACCAACCAATCATTATGATCAGGGAGATGCTGATGATGCTTACTCCCCTACTCCAAACACCATCTAACAAATACAAGTACCAATCCTGAATCCCAAACCAACCCTCAACAATCAATTTTTTTCACTCACAATTTTATTATTGCGTGTATCATCAACATGGTAATGTGCATTTACAGATACAGATCGATGTAAGGAAATGTACTAAAGGTACTGGATACTGTAATTGTGGGGTAGCTGTTCAATCCGGGAAGACGGTGTTCTCCATAAATAGCTGCGATACCAACTCATGGAGAATACAACATCACGGCTGTGACGAATCAGACAACGCCATGGAAATAAGAAAGAGATTCAACGCTTATCAGGTAGGTATAAATGAAGTTGCATGTGTAGATAAATCATTATTTACTTCAAACTGCCTTTGACGGATATTAAAAGTTGGTGTCAATATGTAATTTTAAACTGAAAATTGTGACATAAGTAATTCCTTGTCATTCCTGTATCTAGATTAGATTGTTAAGAATATAAGACTGGGCATGGTAGTTATCTGTATCATTGACATATGAACGCCTTAGTTTATCAAATGCACTGATATGTAGTCTTTTGGTTTTATTCAATTAGATAAACTTGCCAACCGGGGCACTAGTATCCGTCCATACCTACAGCATTCCTGGAACCGGGAAGAATGTCTTAAATGTTTGGGTTACTGGCACGGTCCTTGATACCTTGGCGAGTCGTGGTTTGTGCGGCCAGCTCTCTAACACACAGAGTGATGACTTAATCATGAGAGATGAGACATGGAGCAGCAACAGAAATACGTTCATCAATTCCTGGAGGTAAGGTTCCTTGAATGCATGTTATATTTTAACTATAGAAAGTTCAGAACGAAACACATGATCTAAGGGAATGCGTATTGTCTAGCGTAGTTATTTTTGTCGAATATGCGCACTTGACACATATATGCTACCATTTTTCAGAGTAGGGACGCACGACCTGTTTAACACCGATTATGTGAGAACACTTACAACGTTGCAACAGCCCCCAAAGTACTGCTTCTGCGAAGGCGGGAGTAACGTGAAATGTTCTTCTCTTTCGACGATGACCACTGTGGTCAGGCCAAAGCATTACAAGGACGTTCCCTGTGCCATACACGGCAACAGGAAGAAGCGAATGGTGCGGAACAGGAACATCGGCCACCGATACAAAAGGGTATTCATTATATTTTTGTTTTGATATTGAGGATCATCCCAAATGTATATTATAAATGTTCATTACTTTGTTCCCAGAAGACAATTCTGTATTCAACCCATATAAACATAAGTAAAAGTTTCTGCATATAATTAATCGTGATTTAAATTATGTAACAGGGTTTGATTCGCATATATTGAATATACAATTTTTGCAAACATGTTTCAGTTGAAATCTCATTTTGTCATTCCAGCAAACTTCAGCAGAAGTGTGGAACAACCAGACAGCGGCTGAATTCTGCAACAATCTGTTCGCAGCGTCCACGACCGTCCAGCTGTGCAGCAACGTCCCAGGAGTCGACATCAACCGCAGCCGCGACGACTGCATCAGTGACATTATGGTAAATTATAAGTATAATACTTTATCGAAGGGCCAAACATATAACAATCTTTGGCAATACTAATGATAATGATGATAATAATAATATGGCTCGTTGTTTAGGTGACCTTAATAATTAAAATTCAGAGTATTTCTTTGCTTACGCTAATAATGTCAATGATCAAGTTCTGAATATGACAATTCCATAACATTATGTGCATATTTACCATATTTGCAGCTCTCTGGCACAACTGACTTTCAAATGATGTCTATCGGCACAGTTCGTACTTCCTGTGAGATGGAAGTATTTCTCAACCCCGATCTTTGGGTAACTGACCCCAACAACCCAGGGGCCCCTACTGTGTTTGACGCGATCACCAACAACGTCTGTCCCAACGACTGTAGCAACAGAGGCACCTGCAACAAAGGTATATATCACCACAAGTAAACTCAAGAGAGTTTATTGTTGAAATCATTTAATTTTATACACTAATATTGGTGCCGTCACGATGTTGTTGTTGTTGTTGTTGTTGTTGTTGTTGTTGCAGTAGACTCCAAGCCAAGAATTCACTGAATATTGATAAAACTGGCGCAACTATAGGTCATTATGTAAAGCCATTTTACGACAAACCTCTTACTGAGCTGAAGGGGTCGTTGTCGACACAGGTACTAAAGAAATGTATTCCAGGTACGTTTCTGTATACAGAAATATACCCTTGCAAAAATCAAAATACAGAAACGTAACTGGTACCCTTAACGGTAGACGAGTCCATATTCCCCAACCCGAAACCGACACTGGTTCATGTTGTAGTTCCGGTTCGCTTGATTACGGGTGCATGCGTGCATCGCGGAATATTAGACTAACGTTCGAACGTCACTTTATGATACACTGGAATTTAGGTTAAGAAGATAATCGAAAAGTTCCTCCTGACGAACGCCTACTTCCATGATGAATTTAACCGCAGTTTGGCATACAGGAAGTGACGAATATCTAATGAACCGGTTACGCGCATTGCACCCTGCGGCCCTGCGGCGGAATGGACTCACGCTAGGGTACGTTTCTGTACTTTGAATTTGGCTAGAGTACATTTCTGTATACAGAGAACGGCCCCTTCAGCCTTAATAATCATGTATTAATAAATAGAGTATGGTAAGTGAGCACAATAAGAATGATATTGATCCAACACTTTCAGGACTGTGCATCTGCAGTGCCGGATTTGGCAGTGCTGACTGTTCAGTGGACTTGACCCAACCACCTGTTCTGGACGAGGTCGAGGACAACGGTCACTGTGACCTGGCTACCAGGAACTGCCAGATGTTGACAGTGTTTGGATTGACCTTTCTGGAAGATGCAGCAATCAAATGTCGAGCCACTAAATTCACGGTAGGTTGAAATAAGGCTAGTATGTTGTCCATCTGACAAAATCATCTTTTCAGGAAATAAAATGACTTAATATCTCTTGAACTGCTTACCCAGGCTGAGCAGAGTATTCAACTTTTAATAATGATATTGCTAGTGGGCATGTAAACATAGGTGATAGTTTGTAGTACCATTGAATAAGAATATCCCTGTCAATAGTTAAGCAGTTGAGCGGTCTGAAGACTACTGTTTTTGACAATCGTTACAGATAAGTACAGGTGTATTAAGCACTTCAGCAAGTGATCCAGCTGGATTAACGCCGCCTTTCCAGTAATGTACTACCAAAAAGAATTTAGATAAGACCGGATTTATTCAATGACAATAGTTAATATGTCAGATCATGGCAAATTAACTATTCTATGAAATAATCGTGTGTTCTGGTACGAGTCCGGACTAATGATGGTTTTACCATTTGACATGGCTGTAGGCTCTGAGACATTATACTGGACAGTCCTTGTCCCCTTAATTCCGAGTGGGTAACAACAAGTACCACCTTTGGGTATGGTTTGGGATCGAAACACCGACCTGTCGCTCTCCGGGTAGATGCCCTATCCACCAGCCACGGACACGATCCACATGGGAATACTTGTACATGTTTTATACGTTCTTGTAGGTGGGCAATGGTGGATCCCTTAATGAGCCGGATACCCAGGTATCAGATGGTACTGAGCGGAGCTTGAGTGAAGTGGGGTGCCCTGTAAGGGTAGATTCACCCAGGGACATTGTCACAGCCTACAACATCTCCGTGGCCAACATTGACAACATCTACAGCGAGAGTGTCGAGGTTCTGGTATATGATGGCACGTGTGTGACTGTTGATCACGTGTCCAAAATCTGGACCGTAAAGGTAAGCCACAGACAATGAAGACTTAATAAATAAACGCTTTTATTATTCCTAAGAAAATATAATGCCGAGGTATAACCACGAATGCGCCAATCGTTCTGTCGACCTGTTTGAATCTCTTCTAAAATTAATTTACACTGATATAAACAAAATAACAAGAACATAACAGAGGTAGGACTGGGAGCAAAATTATATTTTTCCGGTACTTTTATATCTAATTATTTCGTCCACGAATTATACCTCCATCCCCTAACCCCATATTAACATAAAAGACTTTATTATTTGATCAAACAAATGAATATAGAGATTACCTCAACCCTGACACAAACCGCGAAGGTCAACTTGAAGTGGGTGAGTGAGTATCCGCTTTTAGCAATGTTCCAGCAATATCACGGCGGGGGACACCAGAAATTGGCTTTACACATTGTACCGGGATCTTCGGCATGATTTGATCAAACAAATGAGTGTAGAGATTACCCCAACCCTGACGCTAACCCCGAAAGCCAACTAGACGTTCGACAGATTTAACCCCAAAACGAAAGGATTAATATCTAGGACATTAAGATTACATTGTTTGCATTGGTAACTTTTCAGTACATTACCATACTACATATTATGTTCTTGTCAGCGATCAATAAACTGAAAGTGTGCATTTTATGTATCAACAGAATGGATACACAGTGCAAAACGGCGTGTGCATCAGTAGAGACAGCTCAAGTAAGTGTCTTCAGATATCTTGGTCACAAAATGTTGCCATCAGCTGCAATTTCGTGTATCAGCAGAATCTATATTAACTGAAAGTCTTAGTCCAGTTTAAACCGAGGGATGGGTTAGTGAGATTTAAGCAGAAATGTAAATTGCGTCCTAACATAACTACTTCCACTGTGACCTCACATGAGCATCAGATTTAATAAAGGTTTCAAATGTTAACACGATTGTTAAGGCAACACCCGTCACAAAAAAAGACCGCCTGCCTGGCCTAGTGGTAGAGCGACGGCCCGGAGAGCGGAAGATGAAGGTTTTATCCTCGGCCGCGTCACACCAAAAGACGTCTAAACATGGTATTTGATGTTACCCTGCAAAGGAATCGACATTAAGGGGCTAATGCAAGGACAGGTCGGCTCGGAATCAGTATACTCTATCTGCGTGGGATATTCGTGTTAAGCAGCTGCATGGTTTCTCAGTGGGATAGCACCATAAAATTGTTCCGGACAAGTACAAGCAGCCACACATACACACACACGCACACACACATACACACGCACGCATGCACGCACACACATATATTTATACACATACACACAAAAAGTTAATCCGGATTAAGCATTATCAATAACATGTTATATCGGGAAAGAAAATTTGGAGCACTTTTGAGAGTGATTCGGTTACATGGATTTATATATTGTTTACTTGGTAATGATATTTGTTTACCATATTACGAAATGTTACCTCCCTTTCACAGTCAAACATCTCTAATAAACGTTTTCCACTCACAGGCGGCCCCGACGACACCACCACAACCCGATCGACGCCGACATCAACACCGACATCAACAACGACTTCGACGCCGACATCAACACCGATCAAAGACGTAACTGAATCAGTTACTACCACAAACGCCAACTACAAAATCACCATGTCCTATGTTACACTCCTTGCCTCCCTTATATCTGGCGTCCTCTCACTGGCTTTGCGTGACTTATGAACTCCTCCTGTGACCCTCCTGTTGATCTCGGACATGATACAAGCCTCAAACGTTTCCGAGAACTTGTTCCATAAAAGGAATAACTCATGAATATTAATGACCCCACGACCTTGTTTGTCGACGTTCGTAGAAGTGAGTTCTGCTGTATTGCCATCGCATTTGTAATTTTAATCCAATTATAAGTGATAATACTTATTTTAAATAGACAAAATAGCAGTTCTTAATGCGAGTTTGTTTACGTCGTACATATTCTCAACAACAAGTGCGTTTAGTTTCGAATGTGGGCCCACCTCGAACTTTCGATTAGGCAAACGGAGTTAGCTCCCTTCTCGAACCACCGATAATGCGGTTTCGCCCTCAGGTTCATAGAACACAATTATGAAGTACGGATATTTGCAATCATCACAACACACTGCAGTAAGAAGGTATGAAACATTAGCTACGTGTATACAGTATGTATGAATACGTGAATATTTAGATGTTCTATAAAAAAAATTCGAGGCAGTAGAACATAAAAGATATAGTTTGACAGTTTGCATATACTAATTATATTGCTGGAATTCCTAATAAAATGGTCAACATTGATGCTTTACACAGACATTTGAATTGGACAAACGACGCATGTCCTAACATTTAGGACATAAATAATGACACCTCATATTTGGTAAAATGTATATATTCTAATTTACAGAAAATACAGTGTCAAGCATTTCAGTCATCACTGATTTTCAGTGATTCATTCTTATAGTTCTCGTCGCGGTTTTGCGCCAAATGGAATCTGTTCGTTGGATAATCGAGATTGGATAATCTCTGGCGTTGAAGTTTTATATGGCCCATCCTACCAATTTCAAAATCTGAATAGCAAGAATAGTTACAAAGGTCTTTCCTTTGCTGTTCACATGCATCAATACCTGATTAAACTTAATAAATAAAACATATATATGGTGGGGTAGTCTAGCAGTTAAAGCGTTTGCTTGACATGCAGTCTGGTCGGGTTTAAATCCCCACATAGACAGCAATGTGTGAAACCTTGATAGTCCTGAAATGGGTCCCCTTTGGTCTCTCATGTCTGTTTCCCAATTCCATATTTTGACACTTTATGATACTTTTCTTCATTTTCAATCCGGAAAAAAACGTGTATGCCTAAATATCGAAGTTTTTTTTGGTACAAAATAGCACCTAACCACTCACTGATGAAGAGTTTTGCTATGGAAGTCCTTATTGTCGGTATGGTTGATGACAGATTCTTGAATGCTTGTCACAAAATGCTTCAAAATAAACGGATGGCTTTGTTCTGTTTTTGTGTTTGTTTATGAAAAGGATTCATAAATGAGCTTCATGTTTGGTGAGAGATGTTTTGAGTGAGTGAGAATGCCGCTGAGAACAATCTTTCAGCTTTATCAAGGCGTGTTAGCTTGATGTTGCAGAAAAGCCCGAGGTGCTGCATGTCTTAGATGTTTACCTCATTGCAGGTTTGTGCTGACAAACAAAGAAACGTAATCTGGTCGTATTTGGGACCCGAACTCACGATCGTAGGTTTCTGGCACTCGCAATGGACGCATCTTTCCACAGCCAATGTTTGAAGCGTGTCGTGTTAAGAAAGGATATATTAATTGTGGCTAGTTGTGAACTAAAACAACTATTCAAAGGTGAAAAACAAAACAATAATCAAAGGAGATTAAAAAGGAACAGTCGACAATACGTTACGACTGCAACATTGGTATTCGGCGTTAAATTGCAGTGGGTAATACTTTTGCTGCTAAAGGGAACATTGAAACGAGGATCGAGATGCTGTTTCTGGTAATATATGTGTTCATTTCTATTGTATTCTTCGACGAATTTACAACAAACTACGCATTTTACAGTAACTGGCTTCTGCCTCAAGATTGTATATTTAGAATGCATGAGTGAGTGGATTGCGTTTGACATTGCGTTCAGCAACATTCCAGCAATATCACGGCTAGGGCATCAGAAATGGCCTTCCCACATTGTATGTTTGGAATCAAACCAGAGACTTTCGCGTGACGTGCAAACGCTTTAACCACAGGCTTTCCCACCACCCATATGTAGGCATTTAACACCGACGTTAACTGCGCCATATCTGCATTGGTGGCGACAATACATTCACACTGTTCGTAATTCCTTGATTAAACCAGTCGCTATAATTGATCTTCCTTTTTATACTCTTTTGTGTCATAAAGACGCTGTTTCAAATATGACAACACACCGCAAAAATATTATTGGGCATACTGAAACATATATTCCATAATTATATAATGTTAATATAAGTTGAAACGCGAAGTTTAACCCAGAAATTGATGTGTAGAGAACTAACTGAAGTCAGTAAATAACCACACATGATCAATGAATAATAAACAAACTATATTGAAACTTACAGGACCAGGTTTACAGTTCATAACAGGCAATACAATGTGTCCAACATGTGGCAGCAGCAATATACAATAGGCCCTATTACATCAGTCGGTGCACTCACGAATGTCCAGAATGTGTCAAAATTGAATATCTTGAACAAGCACGTGTTCCGTTCTTGAAACCAGGAAATCGCTTTGGAAGCAGGAGGAGCGTCGATGTTTCCTGATAGGTATCCCGTTCACTCATGGCAAGTAGATAAATCACAGGTCAGGTCGTAGGAAGAGGCCTAGAAACACCCTCGTTATCTTGGTTCCGCAATATACTTCAAGAAACTACTAGCGCCAAGCGTCTCGAATCATGGAGGATCGACAACTGTAACCAAGGACATCACAACGGTGTTCTCTATATCTGTATAGTAACGAAGGTGTCAAGCACTAGGATGGAGTTTGGAATATAAACAAGTTAAAAAACCACAGCTCCAAACTACTAGCTGTCAAAATCACTACTTAAGCTTGATATTTTGTTCAAGCACCTCAATCAATGTGCTTTCACTTAAAATCATCAGAAATAAAGTTACAGTAAATATCTGAAATCATAGGTTCCATAGGAAGCATTGTGGTTGTAGAGGAGATGAAGGAAATAACGACGAACGGATCCAATGTGTTTAAACATACTCTCCTAAAAAGTAATGGGTATGGAAAATATATGTTATGATCGGTCGTTAGACGAAATAACAGCTTTGAAAAATGACTGCCAGAGAACCATCCAACGCCCAAACACACCGGAAACATTGAACGCGGACTATCCAATTCCTCCGTGCACGTGATTTTGACTTTTCAGAACACGCACATCACTAAACAGCGATATGAAATCGTCTGTATGCTCGGCGACCATGCTCATGCACCGCTGTCAACAAATAGACAGAAGAAGAATACGAGGACAAGACTCCCTCAAACTGTCATTGGGAGATCAATTCGGAGCATGCAACGCCATGAAAACAGCAAAGCCCAACGGGTATTAGAATCTGCTAAAAAGTGCTAACAGTCACACAGAAATTAAAGAATGTATTGCAATTAGAATTGATATATGAAGTCCCAAAGACGATCTGAAGTATATTACACGTTCTATTTCTATAAACAGTGTGAGAGTACACTTCGGTGATTCAGTGTGAGCCACGTTCCTGATCCAATCACAGATTTGAGCAATGATGTCGACTCGAGAGGGCCAAGGGATGGGGAAAGCAAGTCAATACAAGTGCAGAGAATACAGAACTATGAGCGCAAACGGAAAGTATCAGGATCACCACCAGGTGTGATGAAGAATACAAAGTCAACTTTTTTCAAATGTGTTTTTCAAATGGAAAATGCCGAGCGAATGGATGAAGACCAGTATCAAACCTATCCCGAAATCATCATGTGTTTATAAATATGAACCTTTATCCTACAGAGGTATATATCACTTACTAACTCGAGCAATAAACGTTATTGTTCTGTGTTAAATTAGAGACTGTGTAAGTATGCTGAGAACGATAACTTTTTATCTGACGAATAAGGAAAGGAAAGGTCGACAGTGGAACACATTTCATCTTTAACATCTATAGTGGAATCGAGGAAATCGCTCAAGAAATCAACTTATTTAACCTATATTGACTTCAAAGGGCTTGATATACTATTGAAGGGCTATTCTTTGAAAGAAGTTATGAAACCTTGAGATATGTGGACGGATGTATGAGGCTATTATATATTCATATACGAGTGTTAAATGTTGTGAGGGGATTTTACTCAGTTGTTCGATGTGAGATGGGATCTGACGCAAGGATGCTTACTTTCCCCTTTGTTGTTCAACATATACATAAACGATCTCATTACTACATTAAATGTATTGAATACAGGTGAGAGGATCGACGGTACATAAACGATCTCATTACTACATTAAATAGATTGGATATAGGTGAGAGGATCGACGGTACATAAACGATCTCATTACTACATTAAATGGATTGGATATAGGTGAGAGGATCGATGGTACATAAACGATCTCATTACTACATTAAATGGATTGGATATAGGCGAGAGGATCGACGATACATGAACGATCTCATAACTACATTAAATGGATTGTATATAGGTGAGAGGATCGATGGTACATAAACGATCTCATAACTACATAAAATGGATTGTATATAGGTGAGAGGATCGACGGTACATAAACGATCTCATTACTACATTAAATGGAATGGATATAGGTGACAGGATCGACGATACATGAACGATCTCATTACTACATTAAATGGATTGGATATAGGTGACAGGATCGACGGTACATGAACGATCTCATAACTACATAAAATGGATTGGATACAGGTGAGAGGATCGACGGTACATAAACGATCTCATTACTGAATTTAATGGATTGGATACAGGTAAGAGGATCGACGGTACATAAACGCTCTCATTACTACATTAAATGGATTGGATATAGGTGATAGGATCGACGGTACATAAACGATCTCATTACTACATTAAATGGATTGGATATAGGTGAGAGGATCGGCGGTACATAAACGATCTCATTACTACATTAAATGGATTGGATATAGGTGAGAGGATCGACGGTACATAAACGATATCATTGCTACATTAAATGGATTCATTTTGTATATATGTGGAAGGATTGACGGTACATAAACGATCTCATTACTACATTAAATGGATTGGATACAGGTGAGAGGATCGACGGTACATAAACGATCTCATTACTACATTAAATAGATTGGATATGGGTGAGAGGATCGACGGTACATAAACGATCTCATTACTACATTAAATGGATTAGATACAGGTGAGAGGATCGACGGTACATAAACGATCTCACTACTACATTAAATGGATTGGATAAAGGTGGAGAGGATCGACGGTACATAAACGATCTCATTACTACATTAAATGGATTCATTTTGTATATATGTGAAAGATTGACGGTGCATAAACGATCTCATTACTACATTAAATGGATTGGATACAGTTCAGAGGATCGACCGTACATAAACGATCTCATTACTACATTAAATGGATTGGATATAGGTGAGAAGATCGATGGTACATAATCGATCTCATTACTACATTAAATGGATTGGATACAGATGAGAGGATCGACGGTACATAAACGATTTCATTACTACATTTAATGGATTAGATATAGGTGAGAAGATCGATGGTACATAAACGATCTCATTACTACATTAAATGGATTGGAAATAGGTGAGAGGATCGACGGTACATGAACGATCTCATTACTACATTAAATAGATTGGATATAGGTGAGAGGATCGACGGTACATAAACGATCTCATTACTACATTAAATGGATTGGATATAGGTGAGAGGATCGACGGTACATGAACGATCTCATTACTACATTAAATGGATTGGAAATAGGTGAGAGGATCGACGGTACATGAACGATCTCATTACTACATTAAATAGATTGGATATAGGTGAGAGGATCGACAGTACATGAACGATCTCATAACTACATTAAATGGATTGGATATAGGTGAGAGGATCGATGGTACATAAACGATCTCATTACTACATTAAATAGATTGGATATAGGTGAGAGGATCGACGGGACATGAACGATCTCATTACTACATTAAATAGATTGGATATAGGTGAGAGGATCGACGATACATGAACGATCTCATTACTATATTAAATGGATTTGAAATAGGTGAGAGGATCGACGGTACATGAACGATCTCATTACTACATTAAATAGATTGGATATAGGCGAGAGGATCGACGGTACATAAACGCTCTCATTACTACATTAAATAGATTGGATATAGGTGAGAGGATCGACGGTACATGAACGATCTCATTACTACATTAAACAGATTGGATATAGGTGAGAGGATCGA